TAGCTGGGATTATGGGCACCCGCCACCACACCCAGCTAGTTTTTGTCTTTTTAGTAGAGACGGGGTTTCACCATGTTGTCTTTTTAGTAGGAGTTGGCCAGGGTGGTCTCGAACTCCTGACCACAGATGATCCACCTGCCTCAGCCTCCCAAAGTGCTGGGATTATAGGCGTCAGCCACTGTGCCTGGCCTAGGGTTGTTTTTAACTGTTAACTTTTTTCTGATTACAAATGCATCTTCATCATGAAAAAGTCAAACAAAATAGGTAACATGGGGGGCCGGATGCTGTGGCTTACGCCTGTAATCCCAGTACTTTGGGAGGCAGAGGTGGGTGGCTCACTTGAGGTCAAGAGTTCGAGAGCAGCCTGGCCAACATGGCAAAACCCCCATCTCTACAAAAAATACAAAAATTAGCCAGGTGTGGTGGCAGGTGCCTGTAATCCCAGCTACTTGGGAGGCTGAGCTGGGATAATGACTTGAACCTGGGAGGTGGAGGTTGCAGTGAGCCAAGATTGCACCACAACACTCCAACCTGGGGGACAGAACAAGAACCTGTCACCAAAAAAAAAAAAGTTATATGGACCAGGTGTGGTGGGAGGCCGAGGTGGGAGGATCACTTGAGGCCAGGAATTCTCAACCAGCATGGCCAACATGGCAAAACCCCATCTCTACTAAAAATACAAAAATAAGGTGGGCTTTGTGGCACATGCCTGTAATCCCAACTACTCAGGAGGCTGCAGCAGGAGAATCGCTTGAACCTGGGAGGCAGAGGTTGTAGTGTAGTGAGCTGAGATCACGCCACTGCACTCCAGCCTGGGTGACAGAGCAAGACTCTTGTCTAAAAAAAAAAAACAAGGTAAGGTAAGAAAGAAAGGTCTCCTGGAGTTGTAGATGAATACATCAATGTGCTCTGCACCCATTCCCGATAGCACTTAGCACTGCTAGGTAAGTTTTGTGATCCAGAGGGTTGAAACGAGAATTCAGCCATCTCAATGAGAAACACATGTTGATGGGTTGAAACATATCTACAAACTGCGAGATTTCCTCTACTTGCCGGGCAAGTTTGCAGATGTGTTTCAGAGAGAGCCTAGCTGCTGGGCAGAGTACAAGACTAAATGCCTGGGAATGGATTCAGAGGCTCCTACAGCAGTCCAGGCAAGTGACCAGAGCCTAGACCAATGCTTTCAGGGAAGTTAAGGGAAGAGGAGGGAGTGGGCAGGAGAGATGTTTAGGAGAGAGAATACCCAGGCTTCCACCTGACTTGGGCAAGATTATGTTAAAGAAGGAAAAGGAAAGCTGGGTGTGGTGGCTCACGCCTGTAGTCCCATTACTTTGGGAGGCCGAGGCGGGTGGATCACCTGAGGTCAGGAGTGAGACCAGCCTGGCCAACATGGTGAAACCCCATCTCTACTAAAAATACAAAAATTAGCCAGGCATGGTGGTGCACACCTGTAATCCCAGCTAGTGGGGAGACTGAGGCGGGAGAATTGCCTGAGGTGGAGGTTGCGGTGAGCCAGGATGGTGCCACTGCGCTCCAGTCTGGGCAACAGAGCGAGAGCGTCTGGAAAAAAAAAAAAAAAAGGGAAATGGAATTTATAGTTCCTGCCCTCAGAATGGAAGTGGAATTTAGAGTTCCTCCCTTAGGGAGTCCAGAGATTGTGGAGGAGGAAACAATCCGACCCAGTACAAGGCGCTAGCAACTGAGGCCCCAAGACGTGCCACATCCCAGACAGGGCCCTGTCTGCATCCTGAGGCCAAGTCTGCGTGTGGCCCTACACACAGACCCGCGAGGCACTAGGCTACTCAGAGGGCAGTGTGGGCAGGACAGCTCCCTTTGGCCATCCTCACAGGAGACTGATAAACCATTCAGTTTGATATCAGAGTACTGATTCGCCTCTTGAGGTTATTTGTGGCAATAAATTGAAGTTGTTCTACCGTGGTGATACAGCAGCACCATCCCATAGCATTACAATTTGAGCCACAAACGCAAGCTACTTATGTAATTTTTGAAGGGATGGCCTACCTCGAAAGGCGGTTTTCTCCTTTCTCAGTAAACAGAACATACATTGGGTTTTATACCGAGATGTTCCATTGCCCAGGGACGGGCAGGAGACAGATGCTTTTCTCTATCTCAACTGCGAACAACTGCCAAGAGGCCTTCTTTCCTCTTACACTAGTCCTCCTCAGCACAGACCCTTCACGGGTGTCAGGCTGGGGGATGATCAGGTCTTTCCCATCCAAAGAGGCCATATTTCAGACTATCACATGGGGAGAAACCTTGGACAATACCTAGCTTTCCTAGGCAGAGGTCCCTGCGACCTTTGGCAGTGTGCGTATCCCTGGGTACTTGAGATTAAGAGAATCGTGATGACTTTTAACCAGCAAGCTGCCTTCAGGCACTTGTTTAACAAAGCACACCCTGCATAGCCCAAAATTCTTTAAACCTTGAGTCACCACAGCACATGTCTCTTGCAAGGACAAGGTTGGGGGTAGGGTCACAGATTAACAGCATCTCAAATACAGAACAAAATGGAGTCTCTTATGTCTACTTCTTTCTATATAGACACAGTAACAGGCTGATCTCTCTTTTCCCCACAATTTTACATTTTCTAGTAGCCACATTTTTAAAAGTAAAAAGAAACAGGTGCAATTAATCTTAGTAATGTATTTAACCCAAATGATCCAAAACATTATCACTTCAACATGTAATCAGCATATAAATATTAATGAGCTAATAGCCCTGCACTGTGGCAGGTACCTGTAATTCAGCATTTTGGGAAGCTGAGGCAGGAGATTGCTTGACTCCAGGAGTCCAGGAGTTCAGGAGACCAGCCTGGGTAACAAAGTGAAATGCTTACCCATGTCTACAAAAAATAAATATTAGGCATGGCTGCAGCGTCTGTACTCCCAGCTACTCAGGAGGCTGAGTGAGGTGGGAGGATTACTTGAGCCCAGGAGTTCGAGGCTGCAGTGAGCGGTGATTGCATCACTGCACTACAGCGTGAGTGACAGAGTGAGACTCTGGCTCAAAAATATACATTTTTTTCTTTTTTTGAGACGTAGTCTCTGTTGCCCAGGCTGGAGGGCAGTGGCACGATCTCGGCTCACTGCAACCTCTGCCCGCCGTGTTCAAGCCGTTCTCCTGCCTCTTCCTCCTGAGTGCACCATCACACTTGGCTAATTTTTGTATTTTTAGTACAGACGGGGTTTCACCGTGTTGGCCAGGCTGGTCTTGAACTCCCGACCTCAAGCGATCCACCCGCCTCGCCCTCCCAAAATTCTGGAATTACAGGCATGAGCCACCGCGCGCGGTCGATATTTTTTTTTCCTAAAAATTGAGATAGTTTAACAGTCTTTTTTGTCCTAAGTCTTATAGCGCATCTTCGTTTGCACTGGCTCAGGACTCGAGAGCCACATGTGGCTAGTGGCTACTGTTCTGGCGCCCTCAGGCTTGGAGCCTTCCCTGCGGAGGCCAAGTCCTGCAGGGGACCTGTTTGCTGCGGTTTCCTAGTGTCTGGCGCATCACTGGGGCCGAGTGATCTGGGTAACCATGTGAGCTTGGGTGCCCTCCCCTCTCCGTCTCCTGGGACTGCCGTGGAGATTAAACACAGCGGTGGATGTTAGAGACGCAGTTCAGTCACTAGCATTGATTCGCCGTTGTTGCTGCTGTTCTTTGCTCAAAGGCGACTGAAGGGCAGCAGGTCCAAGCTCGCTTCTGTCTGCCCGATGAGTCACTTCACCCTAGGCCTGGCCCTCCAGAGAGCACTCCTCTAAGATTACAGAATGCAGATCTGGATTCCAGAGCTGGCAGAAGTCCCAGGGTCAGACTCTAGGACAACCGGCGAAAGAGCGGGAACCTCTACTCCACGCCCTTGGTTTTTCAAAGCCGCTTGACAGCTTGAGGCTCCGCCCCGCTCTGCCCCGCCCCCCAGCTCCGGCCGACGCCCACCGGAACTACAGCCCCCATGATGCAGCGGGAGTCCGAGCCGCTGCGTCATCGGCTTAGGACGCGCCGGCGGAGGCGTCGCGCGCTGAGGCGCCGCTCGAAGTGTCCAGTCGCGGGGCCGCAGAGGCGTAAGGAGTAGGCGGGGCGAGCCAGCTGGGCTCAGGGTCCACCAGCTCACCCGGGTCGAGGGGCAATCCTGAGGCGACTGGTGACGCGCGCGTCCCTTTCCCTCCTCCCGGCTCCCCCCGCGGTGGCGCTTGCTGGTGACGTAGTGAGTGTGATGGCCACCGCGAGGCCGGGAAGGTGAAGGTGAGAGGGCGAGCAAGCCGGGGTGGCGGGGACTGGCCCGGCCCGGCCGGGCAAGTCCTGAGGAGCTCGGTGTAGGCCGACGGGATTGTGGGGCCACGGAGGTCTGAGATGCAGTCAAGTGGGGGTCCCCACTCTCCGGCCTCGCCGCAGGCCTGGAGAGGAGGGGGCGGGCCACGGGACCTGGGACTGGGAGGTGGGCTCCCCTGTAGCTTCTCACTGTCCCCGCCTTTCCACCCTTCACGGCAACGTTCTACCCCTGCCCCTTTTCTGTTTTTCATCGAGTCTTCGTTTTGCCAGCATTTACTCAGCACCTGATAGGTGTACACGTTCACCGCGGGAGCGCCCTGCCCTCCCCACTTTGGACACTTACTACCCTCTCGTTCAACCCTGTTTACTTGTATGACTTCTCACTGGACTCTAAGGCCCTGGAGGGCAGGACTATTTCTTATCCATTCCTAACGTGGCGCCTGACACACATCCAGAAGGCACACAGAAAATGTTGAATAAATAGCTGTTTAGACGCACGAAGGCAGAACTGCCCGTTACCCCCTCTCGTACTCCTTCATTGCCCTCTTGCTTTAAATTCTCAATCATCTCTCTCTCTTCTACCCAGAAAAAGGCTCTGGTTATCCGCCTCTGGTGTCCCAAGGTTTAGGGCTTGGGGGAGGAAGGCAGCTTAATGTAATTATAAAAGGAAGGAGGCCGGTCGCAGTGGATCACACCTGTAATCCCAGCACTTTGGAAGGCGGAGGCGGGTGGATCACCTGAGGTCAGGAGTTCGAGACCAGCCTGGTCAACATGGTGAAACCCGGTCTGTACTGAAAACAAAAATTAGCCAGGCTTGCTGGCACACGCCTGTAATCCCAGCTACTCAGGAGGCTGAGGCAGGAGAATCGCTTGAACCCGGGAAGTGGAGGTTGAGCTGAGATCGCACCACTGCACTCCAGGAGCTTTGGAGTCAAAGGGAGCTAATATTTCAAATCCCAGCTTAGACAATCGACTAACAGTCTATAAATCTTCAAGTATTCTAGCCTTGTGTTTGCCTCATAGAATTGAGAATTAAGTGAGATACTTTACAGTAGCTGAACACATTGGCTTTCAGTCAGTTCTTCTGTTGCTCAGTAGTCAGCTGTTCCACAATCCTCAAGCCCAGTTTTTTTCCTGGTTTTGCTCTGTCCTCCTCTCCCCTCTCTAGATGTACCTTTCCCAGGGCTCCTGCAGGGACCTCCTTGGTGCCTCAAACCCGCACATGGCAGAACACATGTTTGTGCATAGCCAGGATTGGTCCCACACCTCTGTGTTTTTTTCCCCAGGGCACTTCCTCACATGCCAGTGCAACTCCACAATACCTCAATGAGTAAGCTTCCCTCAGGGATGAGTTTGTTTGGCTTGAAACCTGATTAGACATGTTTTGTACACCAGTGTTTTTTTTGCGGGGGAGGACACCTGATCTATCTCCCTTTTCTTTTCTAATAAGTCAGGACTGGTGGAGTCAACACAGTCAATCAATAACCAACCTCAACCTGAGACAAGACAGAAGAGAACTCAGAATCTTTTTGTCTTTTGGACTCCAGCCATGTCCATGATGCCTACCTTGTGAAGATCTCTCACCATCCAAAAAAGTGAGTAGTAGTTGTGACTTCTGGCACCCTGGATTTGAGTTGACTGGACAGGGGCATGTTCTCCTGGACCTCTGGTGGCAAGTCTCTTGGATGGCATCCTCTTTATATAGAGCCACAGCTTTCTAACTTCTGTTGAAAAACTGCTGTATCTCTTTTCTGCTTCCGTGAAGGATTTCGCTGGTTGCTTAGAGAGGCTGTTTAAAAGTTGACAGTTCAGGAAGTGGCTGGGATCTCTTGGGCTCCCCGAAGAATTAGTCTGTGTCTCCCTCATTTGGTCTTCTCTGCAGTGCTGGCTCTTCCCCGTCTCTGCCCAGCACAGATTGGCTCCTTGTCACTGCTCTTCTGAGATTCTGCTCTGTCCCCTTTACCCTGTATCCTCTTTTGTTTCGATTTCTCAGCTTCTCCTCTTTTCCAGTTGTGCCAGCAGACGATCCGTGGATCCATTTTATTTTCCCTGCTAGGAGTTGCTGTACATAACACTGGGTAAGGAGGTGGTGTGGATTCAGGGACTGTGCTTGGGATCCAAACACACCTTGCAGTGAATTTTGCTACTGTTGTCTCTACTCCCAAGATACCTAATACTCCGTGACTGATAGCCTAGGTTGAGGCAAAACTTTGGACCACCTTGGAGGGCTAATAGCAGTTTCCATTTAGAACTAGGTTCATTTCTGGTCTTAGGTTAATATTTGTCAATACCGTGCCCCTGGCGCACTTTTTGGGGGTAGGGGTGAGAGAGTACCAGAAAGAATGGGCCTTTCCCTAAAGCGTTATCCTCGGGATTTTTATTTTATTTTATTTTTTATTTTTATTTTTTATTTATTTTATTTTATTTTATTTTATTTATTTTATTTTATTTTATTTTATATTTTATTTTATTTTATATTTTATTTTATTTTATTTTATTTTATTTTATTTTATTTTATAATTTTATTTTATTTTATTTTATATTTTATTTTTTTTGAGACGGAGTCTCGCTCTGCCGCCCAGGCTGGAGTGCAGTGGCCGGATCTCAGCTCACTGCAAGCTCCGCCTCCCGGGTTTACGCCATTCTCCTGCCTCAGCCTCCCGAGTAGCTGGGACTACAGGCGCCCGCCACCTCGCCCGGCTAGTTTTTTGTATTTTTTAGTAGAGACGGGGTTTCACCATGTTAACCAGGATGGTCTCGATCTCCTGACTCGTGACCCGCCCGTCTCGGCCTCCCAAAGTGCTGGGATTACAGGCTTGAGCCACCGCGCCCGGCCTATTTTATTTTATTTTTGAGATGAAGTCTCGCTCTGTCGCCCAGGCTGGAGTGCCGTGGCACAATCTCGGCTCACTGCAAGCTCCACCTCCCGGGTTCACGCCATTCTCCTGCCTCAGCCTCCCGAGTAGCTGGGACTATAGGCGCCCACCACCACGCCCGGCTAATTTTTTGTGTTTTTAGTGGAAACAGGGTTTCACTGTGTTAGCCAGGATGGTCTCGATCTCCTGACCTCGTGATCCGCCCACCTCGGCCTCCCAAAGTTCTGGGATTATAGGCGTGAGCTACTGCACCCGGCCCGGGATTTTAAAAACTATTACACAGAAGGGTTTTTTAATTGAATATATTTGTGAAATGCTGAATTCAATACAGTTAAACTAGTGTCTTTACAACAAGCCTTCCTTCACAAACTCTTTGCTGTGCTGGTGTGCTCCACTGAGGGGAATAGTAGCGTATGGTGTTTTACAAACTGATTCTACTATTGAACCTTCTTTAGGTGGAATATTGGGTGCAAGTAGAGTTCTGTGGACCACACTTTGGGAAGTGCTGCCAGAGACTATCCAAAACTGTAATCTCCAGAGCACTTATGAGGCAGTCACAGCTTGAGGTGTGACGCTTAGTGTGTAACTGATACTGGAGCCAGGCTCTCAGGCTATGCTTGTGGGATGGTCCCCGCGTGCCTGTGGCGAGCTCTGTGGTGAAGCAGAGATTATCAAGGCTTTCCAGAGGAGGAGCAGGAACCCAGCTGCCCCGCATCACTCCGGAGGAGTAGGGAGTCAGCAGTCAAAGCCTTGAGATAATTGGGGGACACAGGATGTGATAAAAACCGGGTCTGTGATGTTGTTTGTTCTCTATGAGGCATCAGAGGAGGCTTCATGGAGGGAGTGACACTTGAGTTGGGTGTAGAAGGACAGTAGGAGTATGCCAAATGGGTGGAAAAGGAAGGAGGACTCCAGGCAGAAAGCAGCTCATGCAACACAAATGTGGAATCTTAGCTTTGCAAGTTAGCAGAGCCCGATAAATCAGGCAGAGTTTGGAGGGGTTGACGGTAGGTTTTACGCCAGGGGTTTGGAGGCTGCTGCAGGCTGGTTATTGGTGAGAGCAGGGAGGCTCCTGGATCGGCTGTGCTCCTAGCAGACCTTGTAACCTGGAGCTCCCAAGCTTCTACTGGTGTACACGCTGTTAAGTCTTGCAGTTAGTGAGCACTAATGCTTTTGGTTTTATATCCCCTGGGCTTGCAAACATTGACCAGAACTTAAAGGCATCTGCTTCTGATAGTGGGGAACTTGCTTCCTGCAGCAAGTCACTTCTGGGGTGGGGTATCGCTGATCCTTCCCCAGCTGACCTGTGTATTTGATCTCCGTGGTAGCGGATAAGGGAGTGGTGTGTGTGGGGTGAGTTGGCAGACTTGCCTCTGCCCTCCCTGAAGGCTGGATTTTCATGGAAAGAGTCTTGTGATCTTGCTGGTAGAGTTTGTTGTTATTGCTTTATAACATGTAAAGCTGCTTTTAGCTCTTACTGTATATGAAGCACGTTGCTTGCATCATCAGCTTTAGTCTTCTCACAGTTGAGATGGTATTATGGTATGAGGATATGGGTTTCATCCACGGACCCAGGCCTGTAACTCCTATCTATAGCCCTTGTTCTGGTTTCATGTTATAATGTTAGATGTGGTAGGCCTCAGGGGCAGGCCTCTGACCTTCTCCTGCTCTCCTTCCACCCTAATTTTCCCCACCTTTCTGTGGGGCCTTAAAACCCTTCCCTGAGACTGTGGGCCTTAAAACCCTCCCCTGAGAGGGTTGGATCCTGTATCCTGGGGGAAGGAATGCTGATGTCATGAAGCTTCCATAAAAATCCAAGAGGACAGAGTTCAGGGAGCTTGCAAATACCTGAACACGCGGAGGTTCCTGGAGAGAGGCCTGCTTAGGGAGGGCACAGAAGCTACACGCCTCTTCCCCCGTACCTCGCCCTAAGTATTTCTTTATCTGTATCCTTTGCGATAGCCCTCATAACCCAGTAAACATAAGTAAGTGTTTCCCTGGGTTAGGTAAGCTGCTCCATCAAATTAATCGAACTCAAAGAGGGGGTCATGGGAACCCCAGCCTAAAGCCAGTCGGTCAGAAGTTCTGGAGGCCCAGACTTGTGACTGGTATGTTTGAGGCGTGGTGGTGGAGAGGTGGGGCAGTCCTGGGGACTGAGCCTTCACCCCGTGGGATCTGACACTCTCTCCGGGTAGACAGTGTGAGAACTGAGTGAGAGGACACCCAGCTGGTGTCCGGTGCTTGGGGTGGGGAAGAAACCCCCTCACATTTGGTCACAGAAGTCTCTTGTGTTGATGATTATGGTGTGAGAGTAGAGAAAAAAGACAGTTTGAGACAGTTTTTCTCTCCAATAGGTGTCTTGTTTGTTGTACACATGAAGAAACCAAGGTTCTGTGATGAAATAACTTGCTTAAGTTTCAGCAGCCCAGAAATAATATAGTCACAATTTGAACCCAGCTCTGCCTGATTACAAAACCTGTCATAGGTAGTACTATACCATGCCCCATCCCTGATCCCTTTTTTTTTTCTTTTTTTTTCTTTTTCTTTTTTTTTTTTAAGAGAGAGACTCTCGCTCTGTCGCCCAGGCTGGAGCACAGTGGTGAGGTCTTAGCTCACTGCAACTTCCACCTCCCAGGTTCAAGTGGTTCTCCTGCCTCGGCCTCTGGAGTGGCTGGGACTACAGGCATGCACCACCACACCCAGCTAATTTTTTGTATTTTTAGTAGAGATGGGGTTTCACCATGTTGGCCAGGCTGGTCTTGAACTCCTGACCTTAGGTGAGCTGCCTGCCTCAGCTTCCCAAAGTGCTGGAATTACAGACATGAGCCACCGTGCCTGGCCCCTGATCTCTTTTCTTTTCCTTTTGGGTGGCTTTCCTCTTGTGCCTGCCACATCCCCTCTTTCTCGAACAGTCTGATCTGCCAGGCCATGGCAAGCCTGATTTCAGTACACTTTTCCTTTGCTGCTTTGGAAGAGTGAAAGTAGCATTTTCTTTGCAGTTTCCTTCCTCAGAGCTGTATTGTCTTTAAGCCCTGCACATATGGCTTCCATGCTGAGAAAACATCTCTCATAGCTGTGGCGTCATGCTGAGGAGGAATGTAGAAATGGAAGTGGGGTCACTTCCTTCCCTCGTCTCCAGAGGAATCATTAACATTGCACAAAAACTTGTTGGTTTAGGCACACATGTGGGTCCCTATCCCACTTTGGGTCGGTCTGTCTTCTGCCCACTCTTTGGGATGGTTAGTTCCTAAACGTCCGTTTTGGCATTTGGTCTTCATGTACCTTTTCTGGGTGTTCTTTCTGCTTTTCAGGACCTTCTGCCGCATACTTTGGTCCCATTTGGAAGTTTCTCGTGTGCTTGCTCGGGAGCAACACCTCATTTCTCGTCTAGAGAGAGTGAGCTTGCTGCTGGGTGGAGAACTGAGGGCCCTAAGATTAGGGTGACTGGGGACGCAGTGACAGACCTAGGCACGGTCAGCTGTGCACACGCCCCCTCATCCAGGAGGGCCTTTGCCCTTTGACTTCCTAGGATCGGTGGGCTCTGCTCAAGAAGTACCTTTCGCCATGGTGGGAACTCTGAGGGACCTGGCAGGGATCCACTTTTGGGGTCAGAATTCCCAGTCTTACCCTGGACACTACCTTCTGGTGTGTCTGCCTCTTTTTGAGCTTTTTTTTTTTTTTTGAGATAGAGTCTTGCTCTATCACTCAGGCTGGAGTGCAATGGCGCAATCTTAGCTCACTGCAACTTCCACCTCCCTGGTTCAAGCAATTCTCATGCCTCGACCTCCTGAGTAGCTGGTATTACAGGTGCCTGCCACCATGCCTGGCTAATTTTTGTATTTTTAGTCGAGGTGGGGTTTCACCATGTTGGTCAGGCTGGTCTTGAACTCCTGACCTCAAATGATTCACCCACCTCATCCTCCCAGAGTGCTGGGATTACAGGCATGAGCCACCGCGCCCGGCCCAACACTTTGTTTATTGTAAGTCTTTTTTTTTTTTTTTTTGAGACAGAGTCTCACTCTGTCACCCAGGCTGGAGTGCAGTGGTGCAGTCTCAGCTCACTACAACCTCCACCTCCCAGGTTCAAGCGATTCTTCTGTCTTACTCAGCCTCCTGAGTAGCCAAGATTACGGGCATGCACCACCACACCCGACTAATTTTTGTATTTTTTGTAGAGACAGGGCTTCACCATGTTGGCCAGGCTGGGCTTAAACTCCTGACCTCAAGTGATCCACCCACTTCAGCCTCCCAAAGTGCTGGGATTACAGGTGTGAGCCACTGCACCCGGCCATATTATCACAGTCTATTTTTATGTGACTATCTCTTGCTCTCACTCAATCCCACACATCTTTGTAGCTTATCTTTCCATATAAGAATAACATTTTAGAGGTCATGAGACTTGACTCCAAAGTCCTAGAGGTCTTTGGTCAAAGGTCAAAAGAGGTGGGGCATAGTGGGAGGGCTGGGCTGGGAGGGCTCCGCCTCTCAGGTTCAAGCAATTCTCTACTTCAGCTTCCCAAGTAACTGGGATTATACATGGCCGCCACCACAACCGGCTAAATTTTTTTGTATTTTTAGTAGAGACGGGGTTTCATCATGTTGGCCAGGCTGGTCTTGAACTCCTGACCTTGTGATCCACCTGTCTTAGCCTCCCAAAGTGCTGGGATTACAGGCATGATCCACCATGCCCGGCTGGTTTTTTTTTTTTTTTTTTTTTTTTTTTAAATAGAGACGGGATCCTGTGTTGCCTAGGCTGGTCTCAAACTCCTAAGGTCAAGCGATCTGCCTGCCTTGGCCTCTCAAAGTGCTGGGATTACAGGTATAAGCCACTGAACCCGCCCCCTAACCAGTCGTGTTTTTATGTGGTCTTGCTCTGTCTCCCAGGCTAGAGTGCAGTGGACCAATCATAGGTCACTACAGCCCAAACTCCTGGGCTCAAGTGACCCTCCCGCCTCAGACTCTCAAGTAGCTAGGACTGCAGATGCATGCCACTGTGTCAGGCTAATTTTATTTTATTTTATTTTATTTTATTTTACTTCATGTTTTGAGACAAAGTTTCACCCTGTCACCCAGGCTGGAGTACAATGACATGATCTCAGTTCATTGCAGCCTCCATCTCCCAGGTTCAAGCGATTCTCCTGCCTCAGTCTCCCGAGTAGCTGGGATTACAGGTGTGTGCCACCAGGCCTGGCTAATTATTGTATTTTTAGTAGAGACGGGGTTTCACCATGTTGGCCAGGCTGGTCTTGAACTCCTGACCTCAGGTGATCCACATGCCTCGGCCTCCCAAAGTTCTGAGAAACAGGGGTGAGCCACCGTGCCCAGCCTGAGACACTTCTTATCTCACCATCCTTTGTTCTAGTCCTGGAGGTTGCAGTGACCTGAGATCCCCATATTCTTGATTCTCCCCCAAGCATTCCACCATCCTTCCAGCAGGATGTCCCGAGGTAGGTATCACCGTGTTCGCTCACATTGGCTTCTCTTGCAGCGCAATGTCCCTGCTCTTCTCTCGATGCAACACTATCGTCACAGTCAAGAAAGATAAGAGACACATGGCTGAAGTGAATGCTTCCCCACTCAAGCACTTTGTCACTGCCAAGAAGAAGATCAATGGCATTTTTGAGCAGCTGGGGGCCTACATCCAGGAGAGCGCCACCTTCCTTGAAGGTAAGGGGGCACCTGCTCAGCCAGGCCCACTCTTACCTGTTCAGATGTTTAGCTAGTGGGATTTATGGGTGGGGAAGTATAGCTCTGCTTTTAGGGAACTCATGCCCAGATAGCCTCAGAAATGCTCTGCTCTTGAAATCATGTGGAATTGGAGTCTGGGGAGATTAGGCCAGGAAGACAAGGGAACTGCCATTTAGTAATTACTTTAGAAGTCCACAGGTTTCGTTTCATTTAATCATGAAAGATAGGTGAATCTTATCCCCATCTACAAGGCAAGCAAATTGAGGTTTAAGAGTTGTCGGATACCTTGTAAGTAATAGATCAGGGCTTTGCTCAGGTGTCTCCAACTCCAGAGCCCACGTGTTTTCCTTTGCCTAGTTCTGGCTGCCATTAATACCAGGCACTGTTTGGGTGTCAGTGATCCCTGACCGGGGCGCCCTGTCTTTTATATTTTTAGATTGGTGACAGAACTATAGGAAACTCGTGTCACTTGTGCCTTTTCTACTAGTTACTAATTTGAGCCTAACCTCTAGTTCCTTGTTTATCAGCAGAGAAGGACTGGTTCCCGGGGCCCCGCTCGTCTGAGTGACAACTCCAGCGCCTGCTTCCTCAGGCTCCCTCTTTAGAAGGGCACTTTGGCGCCAGGTCCTGAAATTGTCTGTGGAGACCCAGTAGCCGAGTCTTATCTGCCCTTGGTTTCCTCGCTTGTGAAAGGGGGCTCAGGTGTGAACAGTGGTTTCGGATTCTAGTCTGCAGAACCCTAGAAGTTCAGTGGTGGGGCTTCCGGGGTTGGCCCCTGGCTCAGGGGGGCCACCTTCTTTCCATTCTGCTTTCAACGAGAGCAGCTTGGCTTCTCGTTGTTTTACATGCCAGGCTGCTGCACAAGGCTCCCTTTGAAGAAAGAGACTGTCCAATTTCATGCCCTCATCTGTGCCCTGCCCTTTGCATGGCACTTGATGTAACAGAAGGTATTTCCTAAATACTTGTGGAACTAAAATCTGAATTTTAAAGTAGTATGATTGGTAGTTGAAATAATCCCAACTCATTGCCTGTTTATCAGTGGCTGTGGTGTGCCAGCCCTGTGGCAGGTGCTGGGCATGCAGAGATGGGGTAGATCAGGCCACTGCCCTCTGGGAGCCCAGAGTAACCCTCTTGGAAGCTCTGAGTCACCTACTCAGATGACGTTGTGGACAGACACATGCTTAATGCAGATGTTTATGTGATGCATGCTTTGATTTCTCTCTGTGTGAAAACACGAGGCCTTGCCGGGCGCGGTGGCTCAAGCCTGTAATCCCAGCACTTTGGGAGGCCGAGACGGGTGGATCACGAGGTCAGGAGATCAAGACCATCCTGGCGAACACAGTGAAACCCCGTCTCTACTAAAAATACAAAAAATTAGCCGGGCGAGGTGGCGGGCGCCTGTAGTCCCAGCTACTCGGGAGGCTGAGGCAGGAGAATGGCGTAAACCCGGGAGGCGGAGCTTGCAGTGAGCTGAGATCCGGCCATTGCACTCCAGCCTGGGCGACAGAGCGAGACTCCGTCTCAAAAAAAAAAAAAAAAAAAAAACAAACATGGGGGCTCCCCGTTGTTTAAATGGAAGGGAAAGAGCTGGAGTGATCCTGAGCTGTGCTGGGTCAGGGAGGGGATGGTTCCTGCCAGGGGACTGTTTCTAACAGGCAGGTAACAAGAGCTTGTCGGCCTGCTGGCTCCCACTTTTAAGTGTAGTCACATGCTTGAGAACCAGCTTCCTCTGAGGGACATTCCAAAGGCCATGCCCAGTTGCCCATATAAGGGAAGAATATTGATGCCTCTGGGGCAGAGGTGACCGGTGGACATTGCGGGCGGGGAGATGGGGGTGTTGTTGACTTGGTCACTTCCTTTCATGGCGCTGGCTGTGGGGGAAACTCACTGGGCGGGCCCTTGTCATGCTTCGCATGCTTTGGGAGTGTTCTCAGGGCTGGGGCCTGTCAGCCTGGTAGTTCCCAGGAGTGTGCAGGGGGGGCTAAACACCTGGCTGTGTTCCAGCTTGTCTAGTGCGAGTCCTAGACAGGACAGTGGTGGGATCTCACTCAGTTGCTCCTGTATGGAGTAATTTGTTGGCCATCTTCCTCTTAAGGGCACTGGAAAAAAGCAGTGCTGTAATCCAAAGGTCTGCTCACGTAGCAAACATTTGTGCACCTGCTGGGTGCTGGGATCAGATAGTGTGGCCCTCATGAGGTAGATGACACAGACAAGTGAGCTGGACAGTTAACTTATGGTGGGGTGAGAGCTGAGATGGGAGAAGTGCAGGATGCTGGGGCACACAGAGAAGGGGTAAGGAGGTCGGGCGCGGTGGCTCAAGCCTGTAATCCCAGCACTTTGGGAGGCCGAGACGGGCGGATCACGAGGTCAGGAGATCGAGACCATCCTGGCTAACACGGTGAAACCCCGTCTCTACTAAAAAATACAAAAAACTAGCCGGGTGAGGTGGCAGGCGCCTGTAGTCCTGGCTACTCGGGAGGCTGAGGCAGGAGAATGGCGTAAACCTGGGAGATGGAGCTTGCAGGGAGCTGAGATCCGGCCACTGCACCCAGCCTGGGCGACAAAGCGAGACTCTGTCTCAAAAAAAAAAAAAAAAAAAAGAAGGGGTCCAGGGTCCTGACTCAGGTTGCAGGGGTGGTCAGAGAAGACTTCCTGGGGGCAGTGCTGTCTAAGCTAGACTTGAGGTCAAGTCAGAATGAGTCAGGCTGCCCCAAGGCAGTGTAGTGTGTCAGTTCTTCAGAGAGTGGGAAGGGGTTTGGGCAGCAGGGAGCAGAGCCAGAGTGCCGAGGAAGCTGGTGAGTTTGGGGATATGGTGAGGGAGGACTGTGAGGCAGCGGGGGGCAAGAGGCCAGCAGGGCCAGGGCAGGGAGGGCCTCGAGAAGTGACACAGAGTGGTTAAGAGCCTGGACTCCAGAGCCAGGCTGCCTAATTCAAATCCTAGCTCTGCCTTTTACTACCTCTGGAGCCACGTTAATAAAGAGGACCAAAGGAGAGAATGAATTTGAAAAGTGAAAGGAACAGTGCCTGGCATGGGGTAAGAACTTCGTAAATATTTGTTAAGAAAAAATAAACAAGGATGGCAGTTAACATTCAGGTATTCATCTTACACCAACCGCCATTGACAGCATTTGTATTTTAATTCATTTGATTCTCACAGTGGTCTCATGAAGTAGATATTGTCATTATCTCCATTTTGTGCCTAAGGAAACTAAGACCCAGAAAGGTTCTTTTGCTTGAGGCCACAGAGCTAGAAAGTGGTAAGAACCCAGCTTCAAAACCAGGCAGTGTTGCTTCTTAGCCATGTTCTTAACCACCACACCATGGGGCCACCATAGAGGATCTGGAACTCAGCCTGTCGGCTGCAGGGAGCCAGAGGTAGACTCATTTAGGGTAAGCAGGGCCGTTGCTCTGGCCCTTCCAGACTTATGACTGTGAAACTCCTCTGACCACGTGGTGACCCATGTTCCATCCCCACCTCCAGACACCTACAGGAATGCAGAACTGGACCCCGTTACCACAGAAGAACAGGTTCTGGACGTCAAAGGTTACCTATCCAAAGTGAGAGGCATCAGCGAGGTGCTGGCTCGGCGGCACATGAAAGTGGCTTTTTTTGGCCGGTATGTCCTTGTGGCACCCACCCTTTCTTTCTTCCTGGCTAGGAGGGAGGGAGGCACTTTGTGCAAGGCCACAGAACGTTCCAGGGCAGGGACACGCTTCAGAATTCATTGCTTTCCTTTTCATTTATATTTTATTTATTTGATTTTTGAGACAGCATTCTCTGTCACCCAGGCTGGAAGCTCGTTACAGCCTTGACCTCCCTGGGCTCAGGTGATCCTCCCACCTGAACCTCCTGAGTAGCTGGGACTGCAGGTGCATGCCATCAAGCCTGACTACTTTTGATTTTCTGATTGTGGTTAAAAGGATATAAAATAAAATTCACCCCCTTAACCGTTTTAAGCATATAGTTCACTAGTAGGTATATTTGCAACCAGTCTCCAGAGCTTCTTCATCTTGCAAAATTGAAGCTTGTATTATACTCATTAAACAATAACTCCCTGTCCCCACATGTCCCTCGCCCTGGCCACCACCATTCTACTTTCTGTCCCAATGAATTTGACTATGCTAGGTATCTCACATAAGTGGAATCATACAATACTTGGTTTTTTTTTTTTCTCCATTCATAAAACTTTTATTCCACTTACATGAATTTAATACACATGTTCTAAACAATTATGCTTGTATTGTTCATGAAAATTTCGTAAGACATTAAACAAAGCTAGCCATCATCTCAAGTTATTTCCCTGTTAACTATTTTTACAGCACATGCATGTTAGGCAAGCATCAAAAAAAAAAAAATTCACAAAAGCATAAAACCTAAAAATAAGTTAAATACATGTTTTTTTGTTTTGTTTTAGTGCTATGCTTGTTGATACACATGAAGTAATGAATATCAAGCAATTCATTTTTATTACATCTTTACTTTTACATTTGTTCTTAGGTTGCCTAAAGCATTTTAAATACAAATAAAATGAGTGTAGCAAAAATAATGAAAGCTAACAGAAGATAACTTTACAAATAATGGAATGTGAACCGTTTCTGTCCTTATCCAGAGTAAAATGGGCCACAGCTTTGTCTAAAGGAACGCTTCCACAGCGGTAGTCAAAGGTGTTCACATTGAGATTGAGTATTCCACAGATACACATGGTTTAACATGTGATATCCATGGGGTATCTGTTTCTACCACAGCCTTGTAAGTGCCCCAAACCTTAAGGTACCCACAGTTACTACTCCTGTGACTGGAACCAGTGATCCTTTTTATTCCCCACCAGGACAAACCAATATATAGGCAGTTTTCTTTGCTTTGACATGGAAGCAGTTTTAACACTGGCCCTTATGAAGCCACAATGTACCCAAAGTACTATGCCAAACATTTATAACTGGTATAATGGCCAAGTGCGGCGGCTCACGCCTGTAATCCCAGCACTTTGGGAGGCTGAGGCAGGTGGATCACAAGGTCAGGAGGTCAAGACCATCCTGGCTAACGGTGAAACCCCGTCTCTAAAAATCCAAAAAAATTACCCAGGCATGGTGGCAGGTGCCTGTAGTCCCAGCTACTTGGGAGGCTGAGGCAGGAGAATGGCATGAACCCAGGAGGCAGAGGTTGCAGTGAGCTGAGATCATACCTCACTGTACTCCAGCCTGGACAACAGAGCGAGACTCTGTCTCCAAAAAAAAAAAAGTGTATATATACACACACACACACACACACACACACACACACACACATCTAATACAGGAAAAAAGACATCTAGACAGATTGTATGCTAGGCACCTAGTGGTAGCCTGGGGAATAGGCACTGTGCCTAGAGTCTTGTTCCTGATGACCTGTAACCTCAGGTGTGGTCCTCAACTCTGAACTATCATTTCTTTATCCTCACCTGGGAGGTATGACCCCTACTTAGGTGAGCTAGTGGGCTGCCTGTCTCAGTGGGTGCAGGTAAGTTCATTGTAGTTCTGCTCTAGTGATGTGGCTGGGAAACTTTAACTCAGAAACACTGTATTTAGCACAGGTTGAAAGCTCTGAGACTCAGAGCAGATGAGTCTGCTGAGTGGAGCTATTTTCAGGAAGCAGAAATGGCCGGGTGCAGTGGTTCACACCTGTAATCCCAGCACTGGGAGGCTGAGGCAGGAGAATTGCTTGAACCCAGAAGTTTGAGACGAGCCCAAGCAACATGGCAAGACCCCATCTCTACAAAAAATTTAAAAATTAGCTGGGCGTGGTTGCACGTACTTACAGTGTAAGCTACTTGGGAGGCTGAGGTGGGAGGATCATTGAACCCTGATGGTCGAGGCTTCAGTGAGCTCTATTCATGCCACACGCCACTGCACTCCAGCTTGGGCGACAAAGCAAGACCCTGTATCAAAAAAACCCAAAAAAACCCCACCAGATTACATGAAAGGAGTGTGATAGGTAAGAATGAGAAAGTAGGCTGGGCATGGTGGCTCACATCTGCAATCCCAGCACTTTAGGAGGTTGAAGCAGGAGGATCACCTGAGGTCAGGAGTTCGAGACCAGCCTGGCCAACATGGTGAAACCCTGTCTCTACTAAAAATACAAAAGTTAGTTGGGCATGGTGGTGCACGCCTGTAATCCCAGCTACTTGGGAGGCTGAGGCAGGAGAATCGCTTAAACTCAGGAGGCAGAGGTTGCAATGAGCTGAGATCATGCCACTGCACTCCAGCCTGGGCAACAGAGCAAGACTCCATGTCAAATAATAATAAAAACAAAGAATGAGAAAGTAATCTTCCCTTTAGCCTAGCAGTTGTCAGCTGGGACTGACAAGGTAAAGCTTCATGTGTAAGGAGGAGCGTGATGGGAGAAAAGCAGTGAAACATGCCCTGTGTGGGAAACACTGGGGTCATTTAGACTGAGAAAGACGCTTTGGGGGTGGTGAGTCGGTGTTTCAGGTAGGCCTGAGTTAAACTTTGGAGACTGTCTGACTGTCTCAGACAGTCTCTATAAGTGATGCTGAGGGTGGCTGTATGATTCAAGGGGCAGACAGTGCGCAGTGAGCCTCTTGCAGATTAATCTGAAATGATGAACCAGGGGTATGTCACAGGTTTGGGCCTGTGGGTGTTTATTCATTTTAATAAACAGTGCCTACTCTGTGTCTCAGCACTGTCTGGGCACTGGCAACGTTGCAATGAATAGGGCTTTGGCCTTCCAGTCTGGTGTCTGCATTGTGAAAGTAATTCAGGTCAGATATTGGTGGCTTTGCTGACAGCTGTTACTTCCTTCTAGGACAAGCAATGGGAAGAGCACCGTGATCAATGCCATGCTCTGGGACAAAGTTCTGCCCTCTGGGATTGGCCACACCACCAATTGCTTCCTGCGGGTAGAGGGCACAGATGGCCATGAGGCCTTTCTCCTTACCGAGGGCTCAGAGGAGAAGAGGAGCGCCAAGGTGAGGGTGCCAGGCTGGCTGTCAGCCCTGTGCCTGCTGGCAGAGCAAGTCCTCCATTGTGACATGGCTGACCTCACCTCTAGGGAGAGGGCAGCACTGCCCTGTGGAGGTGAATGGGAGACCCTATTTTAGACAAGCTTTTTGAAGGATGTGAGAGCTTCTGGGGGCTGGCGGGGGCGGTTTTCAGAAATGTGGATCACCAAGAATGAGGACCCTGCTGTTCCTCATACAGCTCTGAGCGGCCACTAGCCTCTCTTCACTAGTTAAGGAAGACAGTATGTGCTGTGTTCTTCCTTGGGGTATTGCCAGAGAGGGATTCCTGCATTTGCTCTGTGTCTCTGACCTATCATTCAGGGGCCAACACTCTTGAGTTTTCTGAGAGGCAGCTGTATTCTTGTTTGGGGCCAGATGCTCAATTTGCTTCATAAAGGATCAATCGGCCAGGCACGGTGGCTCACGCCTGTAATCCCAGCACTTTGGGAGACCGAGGCAGGTAGATCATTTGAGGTCAGGAGATCAAACCAGCCTGGTCAACATGGTGAAACGCTGTCTCTACTAAAAATACAAAAATTAGCTGGGCATGGTGGCAGGTGCCTGTAATCCCAGCTAGTCGGGAGGCTGAGGCAGGAGGACTGCTTGAACCCGGAAGGTGGAGGTTGCGGTGAGCCAAGATCACGCCACTACTCCAGCCTGGGCGACAGAGCGAGACTCTGTCTCAAAAAAAAAAAAAGAATCAATCAGTGCAGAACAGACAACTTTAGCGTGATATCCAGGAAAGAAGCTCAAAAGAGCAGTGAAGAAAGTAGGTTCTTAACTGACAACTCCCAGCTGTTAACTTTTTCTATGTGGAAGAAGAAAGGGTAGCAGATGGGCAGCAGTCCCAGCCACTGTGCTGTGATGCAGCGGCACAGGAAATCTGGCTTGGTGTTTCCTCCTCAGCCTCTTTCTTTCCTTCCTCTGCCATCAGACTGTGAACCAGCTGGCTCATGCCCTCCATCAGGACAAGCAGCTCCATGCCGGCAGCCTAGTGAGTGTGATGTGGCCCAACTCTAAGTGCCCACTTCTAAAAGATGACCTCGTTTTGATGGACAGGTAAGAGGGAGGTACCCTCCTAGGAGGTCCAAACCGGGAGGCGCCAGGTTTCCATTTCTGGGTAATCCGGGCCAGAGTCCCTGGGCCCCATCCATGCTCTGCTTAAGTACTACTGCCTTTCATATGGGCTCAACCAAATCCTCTGGCCTCTTGGCTTTCCTCTAGAGTCTGGTACCTATACCTGTTTACCAGTACCCTGCAGATGTCCCAGGGATGGTCTATAAGAGATAGGAGGGATGCTTAAAAGTTGGGGAGGTTCTCAACCTCAGCCCAGTGCCAGCACGTGTACTGGGGGTGGGGAGTTGTGGCGGAGTCAGGGGTGTATTTTATCTCCCTTGAAGAAACACTTTGCCCTGGCTTGGTGGACAGGTTATAACTATACCAAGAAGTGCAGTATTGTAGCATTTACCTGGACTCACATCAAGTCACACCTTCACCTTAATTATATATTGTATATTGTATGTCATCTTTTTTTTTTTTTTTTTTTTTTTTAGATGGAGTCTCACTCTGTCGCCCAGGCTGAAGTACAGTCTCGACTCGCTGCAACCTCCACCTCCTGGGTTCAAGCAATTCTCCTGCCTCAGCCTCTGGAGTAGCTGGGATTACAGGCACCCTCCACCATGCCTGGCTAATTTTTGTTTTTTTAATAGAGACCGGGTTTCACCGTATTGGCCAGGCTGGTCTCGAACTGCTGACTTCTTGATCCACCTGCCTCGACCTCCCAAAGTGTTGGGATTACAGGCGTGAGCCATTGCGCCCGTCCTGGTATATCATCTTTAAAGTAGAATTACAAGTAATTCTGTTTTTAAAAAAGCAATAGATGTATGTGTTTTTTAAAAACACTCATTTCCTCCACGCGTGGTGGTTCATACCTGTAATCCTAGCGCTTTGAGAGGCTGAGGTGGACAGATCAGGAGGTCAAGTGATTGAGACCAGCCTGATCAACGTGGTGGAACCCCGTCTCTATAAAAATACAAAAAAATTAGCTGGGCATGGTGGTGCATGCCTGTAGTACTAGCTACTTGGGAGGCTGAGGCAGGAGGATCGCTTGAACCCGGGAGGTGGGGGTTGCAGTGAGCCGAGATCTTGCCATTGCACTGCAGCCTGGGCGACAGAGCAAGACTCCATCTCAAAAAACAAAACAAGGCCGGGCGCAGTGGCTCACGCCTGTAATCCCAGCACTTTAGAAGACCGAGGCGGGCGGATCACGAGATCAGGAGATCGAGACCATCCTGGCTAACGCGGTGAAACCCCGTCTCTACTAAAAATGCAAAAAATTAGCCTGGCGTGGTGGTGGGCGCCTGTAGTCCCAGCTACTTGGTAGGCTGAGGCAGGAGAATGGTATGAACCCGGGAGGCGAAGCTTGCAGTCAGCCAAGATTGCGCTACTGCACTCCAGCCTGGGCGACTGAGCGAGACTCCATCTCAAAAAACAAACAAACAAACCAAAACTCTAATTTCCAGGCAATCTGGAAGGATAGGAAATGGAAAGTAAAAATTGGTTAATGAGGGCCAGGCCTGATTTCTCTCCCCTCACTGACTTTCTCCTCCATGACCTGCCTGCCTCACAAGTCTCAGGTCTGTTCTCAGCAAGAAGAATAGGGCTCCTGCTCTGCCTGATGATTTGGTTTACTCCTGTCACCTTTAGCCCTGGTATTGATGTCACCACAGAGCTGGACAGCTGGATTGACAAGTTTTGTCTGGATGCTGATGTGTTTGTGCTGGTGGCCAACTCAGAGTCCACCCTGATGCAGACGGTAACTCCTCCTCTGCCTTCTCCCAAGCTCCCACACCCCCTGGGCAGGCAGCTGATGGGGCCTTGGCTGTCAGGCTCCCGCTCCACCGAGGTCTTACCCTTTGTCTAGGAAAAGCACTTCTTCCACAAGGTGAGTGAGCGTCTCTCCCGGCCGAACATCTTCATCCTGAACAACCGCTGGGATGCATCCGCCTCAGAGCCTGAGTACATGGAGGAGGTTAGTGCCTCTGTTTGGCAGTTGGGGAATGCCACCCCGAGGGAGCACTGCCTGCCACTAGGGCCACTTCATGCCCTCCTGGATCTAGTGACTTCCCTGAATTAACTTTATTGCCAAATAATTGTCCAAATACTCTTCTATGGTATCTTCTGGTGGCTTTTCCCCTCTGCCATCCACTTTGCTGGACGCACCCCCTCTTCAAGCCACTCTCCCCTAGGCTTAAAAAGGATCCCTGTAGCATTAGTGCATCTTCGGGACCAGTGCTCAGTTTGGTTTCTGAGGAATTAGTATGGAACAGGCTCAGCTCTAGGGAGGCCTCTGTGAAAGAGGCTGGAAAGAGGAATGGAGAATACTGATTCTAACCGGTGACTCACAACTCTTAGCTGTTTACTTATTTATTTAGAGACTGGGTTATGAGGCTGCCTAATTTTTGTATTTTTGGTAGAGACGGGGTTTTGCCATGTTGCCCACTCTGGTTTTGAACTCCACGGCTCAAGTGATCCACCCGCCTCAGTCCCCCAAAGTTCTGGGATTACAGGCATGAGCCACTGCACCTGGCCTCACAACTCTAAATATGTGAAATGAAAGACAAACTGGGCATGGTGGTGCACACCTATAGGCTGAGAGAGGATCCCTTGAGACCGGGAATTTGAAACCACCCTGGGCGACATAGTACAACGCTGTCTCCAAAAAAAATAAAGGGTCATAAGATTGATAATATGGGATGATAAAACATGCAGTTGCAGTCAATAGGCCGGAGTCCAAAACCTTTTTTTTTTTTGAGATGGAGTTTTGCTTGTCACCCAGGCTGGAGTGCAGTGGCGCAATCTCGGCTCACTGCAACCTCCGCCTCCTGGGTTCAAGCAATTCTCCTGCCTCAGCCTCCCAAGTAGCTGGGATTACAGGCACCTGCCATCACGCCTGGCTAATGTTTGTATTTTTAATAGAGATGGGATTTCACCATGTTGACCAGGCTGGTCTCAAACTCCTGACGTTAGATAATTCGCCCGCCTTGGCCTCCCAAAGTGCCAGGATTACAGGCATGAATGAGCCACTGTGCCTGGCCCAGAGTCCAAATTCTGACTGACACTAGGCAGGCAGTGTGACTTTGGCAGATCCCTTGACCCTTCTGGTAAATCCAATTTCCTCAGCAGTGTGATAAATAGACTTGTTGAGAGGATGAAATCTGTCAAAAACACCTAACACATGGTAGGTGTCTACAAGAAGCTGTTGTCACATTTTATCGGTAGAACCCCAGGTGTCAGAGCCAGGAGGGATTTTCTAGTGATGCCCACTCTTTTTGTAAACAATGCCCCAGGAGGACACGGCTTGTCAGAGTACAGCTCCCACATTTAGGTTACTTGACCCCAGGGTTCCTCTCCTTCCAGGGCACAAAAGTGAGGCACTATATAAGCTTAACAAGAGGCAGTCTAGGGCACGTTTAAGCATTTCTGCTTGTATATGCATAAAATACCTTTGGCAGGCTCTACGCCAAGTCACCCCCACACATTGGTCTGGGAAACTTGGTGGTTGGAGAGCAGAATAGTGGGAGACATTGCCCTGTGTATGTGTCTGTGCCTTTGGCTGTTGAGCTATATGAATATATTGCCTATTCTTTTTTTTCTCACTCTGTTGCCCAGGCTGGAGTGCAGTGGTGCTATCTTTGGCTCACTGCAACCTCCGTCTCCAAGTTCAAGCGATTCTCCTGCCTCAGCCTCCTGAGTAGCTGGGGTTACAGGCGCCCGCCACCATGTGTGGCTGATTTTTTGTGTTTTTAGTAGAGACGGGGTTTCACCGTGTTGGCCAGGCTGGTCTTGAACTCCTGACCTCAATGATCCACCAGCTGTGGCCTCCCGAAGTGCTGGGATTACAGGCGTGAGCCACCGTGCCCAGCCTCTTATGACCTATTCTTTTAATGAAAGAGGCAGGTGGGGGCTGTGGGGCCACCTGCACCCACTCTGGACACATTTGTTTGGGCTCCAGGTGCGGCGGCAGCACATGGAGCGTTGTACCAGCTTCCTAGTGGATGAGCTGGGTGTGGTGGATCGATCCCAGGCCGGGGACCGCATCTTCTTTGTGTCTGCTAAGGAGGTGCTCAACGCCAGGATTCAGAAAGCCCAGGGCATGCCCGAAGGAGGTAATGATGAGAACAGATGTCCTTCTTTTCCCTGATGTTTGAGACATTTTGTCTCGTGCTGAGTCTGTCAGTAGAAAATCCTTCTGAGAAGAGGCTGCTGAGAAGAGCAGAGTGAGAGGCTCTTGCTCTTCAGCCAGTGGCTTGGTTTCTGGGGATTTCAGCCTTTTCCTCTGCCGCCAAGTTGTTTCTGGGCTAATGCAGTACAATTCTCCTAGGGGGCGCTCTCGCAGAAGGCTTTCAAGTGAGGATGTTTGAGTTTCAGAATTTTGAGAGGAGGTTTGAGGTGAGTCCTTTGATTCTGGTACATGGTGATTCTGTGCCTTCCCAGCTCCCACTGGCTGTATCCCTGGCAGTGAAAGCCAGAGTCTGGCCCTTGGCCATAGGCCCCTGGTGGCCCCCACCTCCCTCTGTGCCTTTGTGTGTTCCAGGAGTGCATCTCCCAGTCTGCAGTGAAGACCAAGTTTGAGCAGCACACGGTCCGGGCCAAGCAGATTGCAGAGGCGGTTCGACTCATCATGGACTCATTGCACGTGGCAGCTCGGGAGCAGCAGTAAGAGTCCAAGACTGCAGATAGGTGGAGAGGGCTGCCGAGATGAGGTTGTTCCTCCCCTGCCTTGGGCAGTTAGGACATGCCTTGATGGCAGGGCTGAGTCTCTGGGCTCCCATCCAGGGCCCTTTCCCTGGCCACCAGACCATGTTAGAGCCACATAGACAGCCTGGTAAGGAGGGCGGCTGGGTGCTTCATCACCCCACCTGGTCTGTGCAGCACGATTCCCTGTGTTGGAGGCCTTGGCCCGTACCCTGCTGAGCTCTGCAGCCATTCTCAGAGCCTGAACACATTTTTAAAAACAACATTCCAGCCTGGAGCAGTGGCTCACACCTGTGATCTCAACACTTTGAGAGACCAAGGCAGGAGGACTGCTTGAGGCCAGGAGTTTTGAGTCCAGCCCAGATAACATAGTAAGACCCCATCTCTACAAAAATTTTAAAAACCAGCTGGGCGTGGTGGCCGCGCACCTATAGTTCCAGCTACTTTGGGAGGCTGAGGCAGGAGGATCACTTGAGCCCAGGAGTTCAAGGTTCCAGTGAGCTGTGATTACACCATTGCACTCCAGCCTGGGCAACAGAGTGAGACCCTGTCACTAAAGAATGATATGAAAACACCTTGCTTCTGTCACACAGAATTGACTTTCTTGATTGTTTATTTTATTTATTTATTTATTTTTGAGACGGAGTCTCGCTCTGTCGCCCAGGCTGGAGTGCAGGGGCGCGATCTCGGCTCACTGCAAGCTCTGCCTCCCGGATGCACACCATTCTCCTGCCTCAACCTCCCGAGTAGCTGGGACTACAGGTGTCCACCACCACGCTCAGCTAATTTTTTGTATTTTTTTAGTAGAGACGGGGTTTCACCGTGTTAGCCAGGATGGTCTGTTGACCTTGTGATCCACCCACCTCGGCCTCCCAAAGTGCTGGGATTATAGGTGTGAGCCACTGCACTGGGCCTCAATTGTTTATATTAAGTTAAAATTTTAAAAAGTTAAGTTCCCTTTTGATTCTTTTGCACTTGTCCCAGTGTCACTCTGCCCAGAGGCACCATAATCATGAATTTACATTGTTCCATCACCCATTCAAACAGTACTTTCACATAAATGCTGAAGAATATGTCAGGTTTTTACATGCTTCAGACGTACAGATGTGGCATCACATTGTCACTGTACCTGGCTTTACTTTCTACTCAACATCGTTTTTCCCTTTATCCTTGTTAGTATGTGTAGTTTGAGTTTATGAATAGGAACTGCTGTAGTATATTCCATTGTGAATATGCCTCATTTTCCTATGGAGGGAATTTTAGATTTCTTTTTTGCTATTGGAAACCTTACTGCAGTGGACATGTGTTTATGTGTCCCCTTGTGCACCTTTGTAAGAGTCTTCCTGGGGTGAATTCCTAGGGGTGTGGCGATTCTGTTTTAGGGTATACGCGTTTCCAGTTTTAGTCAGTTTTACTTGATTGCTCTCCAGAACAGCCGTACCCATTCGTTGCATGACCAGTACTGTCCATAGGCCTTCCATTTCCTCAGCTCTCACCAGAACTTCAGGCCTGGTCATTTTTGCCAGGCTTTGGTAGAAAATTGTGCCTTTAAAAATTTCATTTCCGACTGGGCATGGTGGCTCACGCCTGTAATCCCAACACTGTGGGAGGCCAAGGCGGATGGATCACCTGAGGTCAGGAGTTCAAGACCAGCCTGACCAACATGGAGAAACCCTGTCTCTGCTAAAATTACAGAATTAGCTGGGTGTGGTGGCACATGCCTGTAATCCCAGCCGCTCGGGAGGCTGAAGCAGGAGAATTGCTTGAACCTGGGAGGCGGAGGTTGCAGTGAGCGGAGATCGCGCCGTTGCACTCCAGCCTGGGCAACAAGAGTGAAACTCCCATCTCAAAAAAAATAATAAATTCATTTCCGTGATTACTAGTGAGGTTGAGCTTTTTTCCCTATATTAATTGGCAGAATTTGTTTAAACCCCCTTACAACACCCTCCCTGCTCTGTCCCCACCGCCTGTCCCACATGGAAGACTGAGGAGTGCATGGTTGGCTGCGGGGCTCCCTTCTTACCTGGGAAGGGGAAAGCTCATGCCCCTGGGTGCGTGTGTGCAGCCCTGCCAGGCAAGAGAGTGGGCGGGGCAGCCTGGGACTTCTGGTATCCCCTCTTGCTCCTCTGCTTAGTCAGACAGGAACATGGATTTCTCACCAGTACTCTGCTTTCAGGGTTTACTGCGAGGAAATGCGTGAAGAGCGGCAAGACCGACTGAAATTTATTGACAAACAGCTGGAGCTCTTGGCTCAAGACTATAAGCTGCGAATTAAGCAGATTACGGAGGAAGTGGAGAGGCAGGTGAGAAATGAGGAGGACGCATTCTGGGGAGATTTGGACTCCCGAGTAGAGTCCAGAAGAAAGCAGACCTCCTCTTAGGGACTTCCCAGCCTTCCAGAAGGAAGTTGTGGCCCTGCTTCAAGAATACAGAGCTGCCCTTTGGGTTCTGTTATTGGGTTGTGTGATGCTGGGCATGTTCCCCTTCCTCTGGACCTCCACAGATCACGTGAGCGTTTGATCAGCCAGTTTCCCAGACCCTCTCACCTCAGAGGCTTTAACTCCATAGAGGAGCTGAGGAGGCTGCTGGTTTGAGAGGAAAGATATGCCATCTGCTGGACTGAACTTTGGTCTTCCTTGATACTTAACAGTGTGCTTCCTTTTGCCGTAGGTGTCAACTGCGATGGCCGAGGAGATCAGGCGCCTCTCTGTGCTGGTGGATGATTACCAGATGGACTTCCACCCTTCTCCAGTAGTCCTCAAGGTTTATAAGAATGTGAGTCATGGAGCAACAGGTCCTCTTGGCAGGAGGCCCCCAAAAGTGATTCAGTCCCTGCTGGTCTGGGTCAGGGCCCCCCAGCAGTGAAAGTGGAAGCCACAGAGACGAGGCCCAGGCTTCCGTCAGCCTTCTGGGGTCACCTGGTGGATGTGGCCTGAAGGGAATTTTGATGGACGTGCTGCTTCTTTTAACCTCCCTCTTCTGGTGGCAGGAACTGCACCGCCACATAGAGGAAGGACTGGGCCGAAACATGTCAGACCGCTGCTCCACGGCCATCACCAACTCCCTGCAGACCATGCAGCAGGACATGATAGGTCAGTGCCCATAGGGAACTGGGGAGCTGTGGCCTGGGCTGCCCGAAGATCAGATACAGAGGCCAAGCTAAAGAAATCAGGACTTTCCTTATCTGTCACTTTTCATGATGATTCAACTCAATACCTTCAGGTTCTGGGTACGTGTTTGGTTTTTGAGACAGAGTCTCATTCTGTAACCCAGGCTGGAGTGCAGTGGCATGATCTTGACTCACTGCAGCCTCCACCACCTAGGTTCAAGCGATTCTTCTGCTTCAGCCTCCTGAGTAGCTGGGACTATAGGCATGACCATCACACCTGGCTAAATTTTTTGTATTTTTAGTAGAGATGGGGTTTTGCCATGTTGGCTGGGCTGGTCTCAAATTCCTGACCTGAAGTGATCTGTCTACCTTGGCCTCCCAAAGTGCTGGGATTACAGGCGTGAGCCACCAGGCCTGGCCTTGTGAACTCATTCTGTGCGCAGGGTTGGGGAGCCCATCTGGTGCTACTACATGGGTCTATCCTAGGCTGAGAATTGGGCCTGCTCCTATAAGTCCATGTGAGGCAGAAGTGTTATCAGTATGGCATCTGGGTCCACACTTGCCTGGGGGAGCTGGCCTCAAGTGAGGCATGCTCAGTCTCATGGGCCAACTTGACCGGGGTGTGGTTCCCAGGCAGAGCTATTCAGCATGCCTGGCAGTAGCTGGTGGAGCCGTCTCCAAAGCTTGGTGCTGCTGTGGTGCAGGGCTGAGCTGATAAGCTTTTCCTCCATTTCTCCCCCGATAGATGGCTTGAAACCCCTCCTTCCCGTGTCTGTGCGGAGTCAGATAGACATGCTGGTCCCGCGCCAGTGCTTCTCCCTCAACTACGACCTGAACTGTGACAAGCTGTGTGCTGACTTTCAGGAAGACATTGAGTTCCATTTCTCTCTCGGATGGACCATGCTGGTGAACAGGTTCCTGGGCCCCAAGAACAGCCGTCGGGCCTTGATGGGCTACAATGACCAGGCAAGCAAAGCTCCTCACCTCAGGGGCATCGTGGGGGATCAGTCTGTACCCCGCCTCCAGACACAGGAACCATTCTGAAACAAGGTAAAGGTCGGCAGCTGTGGTGGTGTGCCCCACCACACACTACACCACAGCCAGAATTTCTGCTGCTGATTGAGCTGATCTGTTCTAAGCAGTGATATTTGTGAAATGACAGATGCTAGTATTTTTCTCTAATACATATTAAAGTAAGTATGTAACTATTAAAAATAGATGACTTTAAAAATAACCACCTACATACAACTATTTTAAAGTTCAGATTTTAAAAACATTCATCTCTAAACCACTTGAGTTGTCACACGTACTGCCCTCTGTACACATCCCACGCTCGGGGAAGCTGCCAGGCGGGCCAGGATGACTCCTGCTCACATTTTGCACATCCTGTGGTGTTCACCTGAGGGTCTCCTCTGCTACATCCGAAGCTAGTTGTCCTCTTTTTGCCTTTCGGAAATTGAAAAGCCACTCTACGTCCCTGTTCCCCAGACTAGGGCGACACTGAGGGTTCACGTGAATGAAAGACTCACCACGTCCCTGTCACCCCTCTCATCTTTCTCTCCTCAGGTTCAGCGTCCTATCCCTCTGACGCCAGCCAACCCCAGCATGCCCCCGCTGCCACAGGGCTCGCTCACCCAGGAGGAGTTCATGGTTTCCATGGTTACCGGCCTGGCCTCCCTGACATCCAGGACCTCCATGGGCATTCTTGTTGTTGGAGGAGTGGTCAGTGACCAGTTCAGCTTGGGAAGGTGGGGGTGGAGGGCAGGTGGGTGGGGCCTGAGGGCTAGGTTCCTGTGGTGGCCCCTGCGTTGGGCCACACTCTACAGACCACTGTATACTTTCTCCTTTCAGTGACTCTTCACTGTGATGGCATGGAGAGTGCTTACTCCTTCACCAAGTTTCCCTCACTTCCCGCTGGAGATGGTCCCAGCCTTTCTGGCCTCAGTGGGATCAAAGGAGACATAGAAAGAGGAACTTAAGAGTAGAAACATGAGGGCTCGTTGGCTGGGGCCCTTCGGACGGCCCTGGTAGTGACGGACCCTAAAGGAGGGTGGGCAACAGAGAGGCTGTCCTCCAGGCTGACTATGTGCTTTGCAGGTGTGGAAGGCAGTGGGCTGGCGGCTCATTGCCCTCTCCTTTGGGCTCTATGGCCTCCTCTACGTCTATGAGCGTCTGACCTGGACCACCAAGGCCAAGGAGAGGGCCTTCAAGCGCCAGTTTGTGGAGCATGCCAGTGAGAAGCTGCAGCTCGTCATCAGCTATACTGGCTCCAACTGCAGCCACCAAGTCCAGCAGTGAGTGGCCCCATCGGACCCCAGCAGGAGACTTTCTTTAGGCAGCGTCAGCCCCATCTCCCTTCCCCATCTCCCTTCCAACCTGGCCTGGAAGCCACTGGGTCCTGAGCATCATAGACCCTGGGCCTTCAGGTGTGCAGGGCCAGCTTTGAGGCCAGTGATGGGAAGGGACACTTTGTGTCTTGGGCTGGGACTGGGTAGGCCTCTGGGCCCCTTGGTGAGGAAGAAATGGGAAGGCAAGAGATATTCCTAGTAGGAGTTTTAGAGGTTGCCTTGAAGAGCTTGGGCTGTGGATGTAGCTTTGAAGTTTTGAACCCAGCCTGATCTTCATGCACATCTTAGGTCAGGTGGGAATCGATTGCTTAATCTGTGGTGGTCTGGACGAATAGGCTGGCTTCCTTTTTTTGGTTGTGTGTGGCAGACCCTTTGCTCTAGACATTTGGCATCGAATTTATGTATTTCTCTGATTCTTTGAGGTAGATGTTGTCTTATAGGCATCTCCTTTTTCAAACTGAAGAAACTGAGATTTGAAAAACAGTCACGTGTTCCCTGCTACTCGGCTGATGAGCAGCAGATCAGGATCTCTGCGTGCTGTTGCTTTTCAGGCCGTGGTGATGCCAAGTGTGTTTGGTGGTTATGATTATTCACAGTCTCAGCAGGATGTAGGAGATTCTGCCAAACCAGGGCTGGCTCAGGGCAGAGCTGCTGGCAGGGATATCGACGGGCCCAGCTGCTTCCCACTCTGGGCGGGTTAAGCCACCAGTGGCATCTTGCTCCACACACCCCAACTGATCCCTTCTCTGTCCTCCCCAGGGAACTGTCTGGGACCTTTGCTCACCTGTGCCAGCAAGTTGACGTCACCCGAGAGAACCTGGAGCAGGAAATTGCTGCCATGAACAAGAAAATTGAGGTTCTTGACTCACTTCAGAGCAAAGCAAAGCTGCTCAGGTGAGGCTGGCCTGGGTGGCCAAAGGAGGGTTCCAGGGTGCAGCACAGGCGCACTGGGGCTCAGCTGCTGGGCTTGTGTCTTGGGTGTGGACACAAACTTCTCTGGTGGGGATTTAATTTATTCGTGTTAGATGTGTACCACAGGCCAGGCACAGTGGCCAACACCTGTAATCCCAGCACTTTGGGAGGCCAAGGCAGGTAGATCACCTAAGGTCAGGAGTTTGAGACCAGCCTGGCCAACATGGTGAAACCCTGTGTGTACTAAAAATGCAGAAATTAGCTGGGTGTGGTGGCGTGCGCCTGTAATCCCAGCCACTTGGGAGGCTGAGGCTGGAAAATGGCTTGAACCTGGGAGGCGGAGGTTGCAGTGAGCAGAGATCGCGCCATTGCACTCTAGCCTGGGCGACAAGAGCAAAACTCTGTCTCAAAAAAAAAAAAAAAAAAATATGATGTGTACCACGTACCTCATGCGTGCCAGATGGTGCTGGTGCTGGAGGCTCAACAAGACAGCATCACTGCCTTCAAGGCACTTGCAGCTGAAGGCATGATGGCATCACAGTACTGCGAGACTGCAGTTCACAGCGCCCTGTGCCGAACCGCAGGGCCTACAGTGCTTTACATGTGCTGTTTCACTCAGTCTTCCCTATCCCTCCATTTTCTACGTACAAAAATTGGGGAACTTGTCTGGCATCTCAGAAAATGGCCAGGCTAGGAGGGGAGCCCAGGTGTACTTGGCTCCAGCAGCCCTTGCACTCTGATTCTCCTTACACCTGCCGCTCTTTGGACCCATGAAGAGGGCATAGCCCCCCGCTTGTCCACAGAGAAGCTGGTTACTTGGCTGGGGACTCGCAGAACTGGGATTGGAACTCAGATCTCCAGGGAGTCTCTGTGGAGCTTTCATTAACAGTTTGCTGGAAAGAGCATCAGTCTGATGAATCTGGAGTCCTGGGTTCTCTCCAGCTACTCATGTTTGGCTCAAGCTCTTAACTCTGCTATGTCTCATTATTTTCATCTGTAAAATGGGAGTAAGATTTCATGACACAGCTGCACGACTGAATGTAAAAGTGCCCTGCAAAAATCCTTGGCCTGCCCGGCTCATGATAGCATCAGCACACGGGGACCCTGCAGAAGTCCTCGGCCTGCCCAGCCCGTGATAACATCAGCACGTGGGGACCCTCCACTTCCTGCCCTCACCCCGTGACGTCAGAGCCTGCAGGGTGGCAGAGCCAGAGGGGAGATGCATCAGAGGGTGTCAGCTCCAACTGTCACCAGATCAGTGGGCTTTCCCTGCCCTCGACTGTGCGGATGTGCCCCCCCCGCCCCGCACCCACCTGGGGACAGCTGCTTCCTAGGGACACACTGCTTGCCCTCTGGGGACTCTCAAAAAGGGGGAATGTGGTTGGGGGGGGAACTGCTGCTTGTCAGCCACAGTGACATGGTTGAACCTGGAAAGGGTCTCCTGCCAAGGAAGCACCTCAACCCCTTCCTTGACAGGCAGGGAAACTGAGTTCCTGACAGCTCAGGGACTTGCACATAGTCCTGGTGAAGCAAACACAGGTCTTGAGAATCAGAAAAGCCTGACTTGCAGCTCCCTGGCTTATTAACCGTGTGACCTTGGGAGGTTACTTAACCCCTCTGGGCCTCCTTGTCCCCATCTGTGAAACAGGAATAAATATGATTGTTGGAGGATTACGTAAGGGTGTGTATCAAGTGTCCTTAGGATGGTGCCTGGTGGGTAGTCCTAATACTGCCTGTCATCAGCTGTCATGGTTACTAAAGAAACATTTCTTTGCAGGAATAAAGCCGGTTGGTTGGACAGTGAGCTCAACATGTTCACACACCAGTACCTGCAGCCCAGCAGATAGTGGGCACCTGAGGCGGAGCCTGCGTGGAGAGGGGTGGTGCTGCCAGCCCTGAGTGCCGTGTGGGCTCCCCCAGGGGCACGTGTGGCTCCTGCCCCTGGCCACCGCCAAGAGAATGAAGCACCCAGTCTCGTACCATTTTGAGCCCTCCAGCACTAGTTATTTTCCCCCTCCTTTGCCTGCTGTTGCAGGAAGATCTGGCTCATACCCCTAAAGGACACTTTCAATGACAGTTATGGACAGCATGGTACCAAGGAGTTGAGGCTTTTTCCAGCTTTCTCGGGTTCATCTGAGTGCTTGATAAGACCTCGGGATCTCAGCATTGCACAATGCCTCATGGAAGCCTTTGAGGGTATCACGCAGACACCCCCACCTTTCTCCAGCCTGTGCGCACCTGCCCTCCTTGCAGCCCAGCACACCTACAGGTGTAAGGGATGATTGGAGTTTCTTCCCAGAGAGTCTGTCCCAGAAGGACTGTGGCTTGTGTGTGTTCGTCTCGCCTGTTGGCTCAGTGCTTTATCCCATTTGCAGAGCCTCTCAGACACGTCTTGGTGTTGAGGCTCAGTTACCCCTGGGCTTAGGCTGAGGTGGGCCCTGTGCTGTGGCCGAGGCAGCTGGAGGAGTGGGAGTAGCTCAGAGGAGAGGGCTGTTGGACGTATGGGGAGCTGGCAGAGCAGGTGGCGGTCACTGGGACAAGGAGGGACTTGCCTCTCTTCTCATTATTGTGCCCCCTGCTTTAGTGTCAGTCCTGGACTTGCGCAGGCCTGTTTTGTGTAGATGTGTTTTGGAAGATGGCTTGGTCTAGGTGGTTGAAGGATGTAGTAGAAGGAAGGATGGTGGAAGGTGGGGACCTTGGTAGCTGAGGAGCGTGGGCCCCACACAAGACAGCTGGAGAATGGGCCGTCCATTTGACCTCGTTCTCAAGGGGCTCATGGGTCTGAGAGACCCCACCCACTAGGCTTGATTGCATCCCTGTTGTGCCCTTTAAGACACATGTCTCCACCCCACCCCCCAACCTTGCCCCAAGTGCCCTGGACTAAATTTCCTGCGCCAGTGACTGCAGTTGGCCAAGGGACAATGTGGAAAATCCAGTGCCCATCCTTCCACCCTCCCTGATCCCCAGAAACTTCGACTGACCCCTTTGTCCTTATGCTGATGTTGAGTTTTGGGATTGTTGCTGGTTGAAGTGGGGGCAGATGCCTGTCACCAAGGTGTTGACTGTGTGAGAAAAGCAGTTTGGGTGACAAATCCTGTGTGGCACAAGTTGGATCGCTTCCTAGAAATAAGCAACACCTCTCCCAAAAAGCAGCCCAGAGGGCAGGGGCCCAGCAGCCCAGCCATCACTCATCTTTGAGGAAATTAGTTGGTGGCCTCTGTGCACTGGTTGGTGGCCACATCACAGGTGATGTCCTGTTCACATACCTGCTTGTACTTAAAACCCTCAGTCCTGTTGTGTGGGGCAAAGTGATGGACTCTGCCAGCTGGACGTGCTGTGGGTGGGTGTTCCCGGTGTGTGCTGGGCCTGAATGGATAGGCGCCACTTCACAGCATGTCAGGGAAAATCAGTGTCACACAATTCCAATGGATTTTATGCTCTTTTTGGGGAAAAACAAAAAAATTCTTTAGCATAAACATGAATTTTTTTTCAATGTAGCCCCTGGGGAATGAATGAAATTTTGAGCTTCTTCAATAAGTAAAATTAAATTAAGACCACTGAGGGAGAGACCCTTTCTGAAAGAAGTCTGGCCAAAAGCACTTGGAATGCTGCTGACATTGTTCTGTTTTTACGTTCATTTGCTGGAGCGCAAGACGTGCTGACACAGTGAGTTTTCTCTGATGTATTTAAGGTGATGTATTTGCCTGAGTTACTCCTGTATCATTCTCATAATATTGGAAACTAAAATAAAACCTAGTTGGAAATCCTCTGTGAGATCTCCACCATGTTTTCGGGTTCTTGTACAAACTCCTCTTTGACATGGCCAGCTGTGTTCTGAAGTGACCACAACTATAGTTCCCACTATAATGTGGCTCCTTATTCTTGGAAGGAATTTGATACTCTCAAAAGAACAAATGGTGTAACTGATCTTTAAGGATCAGGAAATCGAGACTGATTTCTTTATAGATTTCTCTATAACTCCAGACCATTTTTTCACTTAAAAAGTAAATGACTCACTGTTCCATCCTGCTTTGCCTTCTGAGAATTTGGTTGTGACCATTTTTTTTTTTTTTTTTTTTTTTTTTTTTGAGATGGAGTCACGCTCTACCGCCCAGGCTGGAGTACTGGAGTGCGGTGGCATGATCTCAGCTCACTGCAATCTCCACCTCCTGGGTTCAGGCAGTTCTCTGCCTCAGCCTCCCAAGTGGCTGGGATGACAGGCGCCCGCCACCACACCCGGCTAATTTTGGTATTTTAGTAGACGGGGTTTCACCATCTTGGCCGTGCTGGTCTGGAACTCCTGACCTTGTGATCTACCTGCCTCGTCCCAAAGTGCTGGGATTACAGGCATGAGCCGTCGCGCCCAGCCCTTTTCTTTTGTTTAAGGGTCCTCAGGAGTAGATTCGGGGGTGGCTAGTCAGTTTCCCCACCCCTACAGCTGTCCTCTCGGCTCTGGTGCCGCCCAGTGGCCGCCCTGCTCTCCCACAGAGGCCACAGCTCAGCTGATAGCAACCTCATCCTTCCAGATTCCCAGGTCACACACTTGGGGCATCACCCATGAGTCCGCGGTCACACGTGCTGCACCTAATCTGTCACCTGCTGTCTTCCAAGTCTATCAACCCTGCCCAGTTCCTCACCTCCATCACAACCATCAGCCCGGATCCGGGTTCCTGCTTCTGCCTTGTCCCTGCCTATCCTTGCCATCCTGTGGCTGTTTCAAGGCAGCAGCCAATGACTTTCTTAGGTAACAAAAAAAATGAATCATTATCCTTTTTTTTTTTTTGCAATCCACAAAACAAGTAGTTTCTGTCATCAACAAGATGTTATGTACAACCCACTAAATTATTCACACCACCATCATCCTGGGTGATGAGCCATAGTTTGAAAAAGGGTCTTTTTGCCTTATGCAAATGCTGCTTAGTTATTCCCAGTCAAGGCTAGCCTCATTCTTGTGCTTTCTCTGACTACCTCATGTCCACTGGGGAATCTGAGAGGCTGGTAGTTTTAACCCTCTAGTAACAATGTCCCCATTTAATCACAAAAAGTAGGTAGTCAGGAATGTATCACTGTGTCCCAAGCACTGGGGTGACAGCCGAGGCAGCTCTCTCAGAGAGCATCTGGCTCATACATGGCTTCAGAAGCAGGGCCCTCCTCGCAGATGACAGCTAAGTTGTTCACTGGGTCCTCAAGTGGATGGATGGTTTCCTGTCTCTAAGCGGGACTCAGGCTTGAGATAAGAACAGCCAACTTTTTTGAGTTTAGCATGTGTCAGACATTCATATGCATGAGTCCTAATCTCAAAATCCAATGGTCTATTTTCCCTAATTTCCTCAAATGAGGAAGTTCATGATTTCAGCAAAGTATTTGTGCACCTACTCTGGGCTAAGCATGGTTCTAGGCATTGGGAATATAGCAGTAACTAAGGTAGATAAAAATCTGCCTCTGGGGCTGGGCGTGGTGGCTGATGCCTGTAATCCCAGCACTTTTGGGAGGCCAAGGTGGGCGGATCACAAGGTCAGGAATTAAAGACTAGCCTGGCCAACATGGTGGAACCCCATCTCTACTAAAAATACAAAAATTAGCTAGGCTTGGTGGCGTGCGCCTGTAATCCCAGCTGCTAGGGAGGCTGAGGCAGGAGAATTGCTTAAACCTGGGAGGAGGAGGTTGCAGTGAGCCGAGGTCGCGCCATTGCCCTCTAGCCTGGGCAACAGAGGGAGGCAGCCTCTCAAAACAACAACAACAACAGAAATCTCACTCACTGATTAATAACCTTTTTCAGTTACAAAAAAAACAACATATTCGCAAAACTCCCTAATATCAGGAGCCATCAGGCAAATGATCCCAAGTCTTGATTTACAAACCAAACCCTTATGCCTCTGATCACATAGAGGACTGGTTCTTACAAACATTTTTTTTTTTTTTTGAGATAGATTTTTGTTGGCTGGAGTGCAGTGGCTCTATCATGGCTCACTGCAGCCTTGACCTCCCAGCCTCAAGTGATCCTCTCACCTTAGCCTCCCGAATAGCTGGGATTAAAAGTGTGCGCCGCCCATGCCCGGATAAGTTTTTTGTTTTTTGTAGAGACGAGGGGTCTCACTATGTTACCCAGGCTGGTTTCGAACTCCTGATCTCAAGTGATCCTCACATCTAGGCTCCCCAAAGTGCTGTGATTATAGGCGTGAGCCACCATGCCTGGACACAAACATTCTTTTTCTTTTTAAAATTTAATTTAATTTTTAAAATAGAGAATGTATGTTGGCTGGGCATGGTGCCTCATGCCTGTAATCCCAGCACTTTGGGAGGCTGAGGCGAGATGATCGCTTGAGTTCATGAGTTTGAGACCAGCCTGGGCAATCTGGCAAAACCCTGTCTCTGCAAAAAATACAAAAATGAGCCCAGCATGATGGTGTGCACTGGTAGTCCTAGCTACTCCAGAGGCTGAGGTAGGAGGATCACTTGAACCTAGGAGGTGGAGGCTGCAGTGAGCTGAGATTGCATCACTGCACTCTAACCTGGGCAACAGGGAGATGCTGTCTCAAAAAAAAAAAAAAAAAAAAAGAGATGGGATCTCACTGTGTTGCCCAGGCTGGCCTCGAATTCCTAAGCGCAAGTGATCCTCCCGCCTCAGCCTCCCAGAGTGCTGGAGCTACAGGCATGAGCCACCACACCCAGCCAACAAACATTCTTTTCTGATAAGCAACTGCAGAACTTAAGCTAGTTTCAGCCAGCTTACGGAAGCTGTGAACAAACTATTTCGCCATTGCACATGAGCTCACCTCTTCTCATAAATATGTATACAGCTTTTCCCTCAAACCTGCTAAATATGTATGAATACGGACCCTGTGAGGCATAAAACCCAACCTGTCTCTCCTCTCTTGGAAGAGAGCACCTTCCGTGCATGCTGCAGACTGTCTCTTCCTGGTTTGCAAACAAGTATCAACAAGAAAGTGCTCCTTTCTACTATTTAGCCATCTTGGTGATCTTTTAGACAACATTGTGAGTATTTCTGCTAGGAACATTAGTGTTCAAATCTCTGTGTAGGCAGATGTTTTCATTTTTTGCAGGTAGATATCTCAGGCTGGACTTGGGCCATATAGTAAATCTATGTTTAACTTTACAGATTTTGCGAAGTGGTTATACTGTTTTATATCCCCACCAGTAATGCACATGGGTTCATATATATATATATATATATATATATTTTTTTTTTTTTTCTTCTTTCTTCTTTTTTTTTTTTTTGAGACAGTCTTACTCTGTCATCCAGGCTGGAGTGCCGTGGCGCAATTGTGGATCACTGCAACCTCTGCCTCCCAGGTTCAAGCCATTCTCCTGCCTCAGCCTCTCGAGTAGCTGGGATTACAGGCGCCTGCCACCACGCCTGGCTAATTTTTTTGTATTTTTAATAGAGACAGGGTTTCACCATGTTAGCCAGGCTGGTTTCGAATTTCTGACCTCAAATGATCCACCCGCCTCAGCCTCCCAAAGTGCTAGGATTACAGGTGTGAGACATTGTGCCCGGCCTACAGTGAATCTTTTAACTTTACACACCATCACTTTAGATATATAAATCGATATGTAGTGGTATCTCATTGTGGGTTTAATTTACATTTGCCTAGTGAATGGATCCCAGAGCAGGAGAAAACTTAGAAAGGCCTAGTGAATGGATCCCAGAGCAGGAGAAAACTTAGGCAGACTGGGATGGAAGCTGGAACTAGAGGCATTTGTGGTGGATAAGGATGCTGTATGGAGTCTCTGGCAAGCCTCAGTTTTTATGATGTTCAGCATCTTTTTATGTGCTTGTCATCTGTATTTTTCCTTTGGTGAAATGTCTGTTCAATTATTTTGCCCATTTTAAAAACTGGGCTGTTTTATAAGTTTTGAGAGCTCTTTATGTAATCTGGATATAAATATTTTCTCCAATCTTGTGGTTTGACTTTTCACTTATTTTTTTCTAAAAATGGAACAAGTTCCAAATTTTTAATCTGGACAAAGAGAATTAAAACCAAGCATATCATACTTCCAAAACACATATCCATCGGCAAGTCAGCAAATCTGGGGAAAAGCAACTGGAATTGACTATGAGGCTGCTGTAATTAATCTTCATCGTCTCATTGCAAAGGTACTACCTGAATTCCTTTGGCTATCCTTTCTGTTAATATTATTTGCAGTAATTACTCTTAGTAACATCAAATCAAATGATCCACCTGTAACATCCATTAGCATGCCACCAGCTTCAGTAACAATAATGCTAACTCCTGCAAGAGCCCAGCAGTGAATTCCCATTTCATAATATACATCTGCTCCTCCAGTTGCCACAAGGCAAACAGCTGCCGTTCCAATACTCCGGATCCCATGAACAGGAATGCAAAAAAACTTTTGCATGTTAGAAAGAACAATTCTTACAGTCTCTGGTGTTCTGGAAGAGCCCAATTCAGTCACTAAGAGTGGTTTGGTAATATCTTCTTGTTGTGAAACCTGTAGTTTTTGACCATTACAAAAGGCACCTTTTTCTTTCCTGGAAGTGTACATCTTATCTCCCGCATAACTGTATACTACTCCAAATTATATCTTTTTATTTACAGCAAAGCCGATTGAAACAGCTACAAAAGGAAATCTATGTACAAAGTTAGTTGTTCCATCAATAGGGTCAATGATCCATGTGGGGTTGTTAGTTAAGGCACTTTTCTCCCCGTTGCCACAGATTCCTCACCAATGAAACGGAGATGGATACTTTTCTTTTACGGAAGAGATAAGCATTTCTTCAACTTTTTGGTCCGTAGCAGTTACCAAATCAACTGGAGAACCTTTCGGTATAACATTCATTTCATTTCTTTTTTTTTTTTTTTTGAGACGGAGTCTTGCTCTGTCACTCAGGCTGCAGTGCAGTGGTGTAGTCTCGGCTCACTGCAAGCTCTGTCTCCTGGGTTCACGCCATTCTCCTGCCTCAGTCTCCCGAGTAGCTGGGACTACAGGCGCCAGCCACCATGCCTGGCTAATTTCTTTTGTATTTTTAGTAGAGATGGGGTTTCACCGTGTTAGCTAGGATGGTCTCGATCTCCTGACCTCGTGATCCGCCTGCCTCGGTCTCCCAAAGTGCTGGGATTACAGGTGTGAGCCACGGCGCCCAGCCTGATTTCATTTTTTAGAGCATCACAAACTACTTCTCCAGCTCATCTTGCTAGAGTTACTGCATAATCCGTGCATTCCTGCCAAGGATCAGAGCCATCTTCTTGAGTCGGAGGGGTTCCTGCTAGTTCAGTGCCTGGTGTTATCACTCTCAGCTCTTCTGGAGGTAGAGGGGCTACCTATCTTCTTTTCATTCTGTTTTTTTGTTTGTTTTAATTTCAGACGGAGTTTCCCTCTCGTTGCCCTTACTGGAGTGCAATGGTGTGATCTCGGCTCACCACAACCTCCACCTCCTGGGTTCAAGCGATTCTCCTGCCTCAGCCTCCCAAGTAGCTGGGATTACAGGTATGTGCCACCATGCCCAACTAATTTTGTATTTTTATTAGAGATGGGTTTCTCCATGTTGGTCAGGCTGGTCTCGAGCTCCCAACCTCAGGTGATCCCCCTGCCTTGGCCTCCCAAAGTGCTGGGATTACAGGCGTGAGCCACTGTGCCCGGCCAATTTTTATATTTTTAGTAGAGACGGGGTTGCACCATGTTGCCCAGGCTGGCCACCACGCCCGACCCATTTTTCTGAGTTTTATAGTTTAGGTTCACAACTAGATCTATGATTCATTCTAGGTTAATTTTTGCATATGGGTTTGTTTTGTTTGTTTGTTTTGTTTGGATGAGTGTGTGGATATCCAATTATACCTGCAACATTTGTTGAAGACACCATCTTTTCCTGTTTTTCCAAGTTTCCACACACATTATTATTGATAAAATACATATTTTGCGGGGGGAGGGGGGCGGGGCGCTGGGTGTCGCTGGTCTGTAACTCCTTACCTCAAGCGATCCACCCACCTCAGCCTCCCAAAGCGCTGAGATTACAGGCATGAGCCACCGCCCTGGGCCAAAGGCGTTATCCTTTCTCCACTGAATTGCGCTTTCATTTTTGTCAAAAATTAATTGCCCACATATCGGAACTCTTTATTCTGCTGCATTCATCTATTCGTCTATCTGGACACCAATACTATACTTTCTTTTTTAATTTATTTATTTATTGAGACAGGGTCTCTCTCTTAGTCAGGCTGGAGTGCAGTGGTGCAATCTCAGCTCACTGCGGCCTCAGCCTTTTTGGCTCAGGTGATCCTCCCATCTCAGCCTCCCGAGTAGCTGGGACTACAGGCAAGTGCCTGGTTCATTTTTTGTAGAGACGGGGTTTTGCCATGTTGCCCAGGCTGGATACCTTTTTTTTTTTTTTTCTCTTTTTCGAGATGGAGTCTTGCTCTGTCATCCAGGCTGGAGTGCAGTGGCGTGATCTCGGTTTACTGCAACCTCCACCTCCCTAGTAGCTGGGTTTAAGCGATTATCGTGTCTCAGCCTCTGCCAGCCACCTTGCCCAGCTAATTTTTTTTTTTTTTTTTAATTCAGAGTCTCGCTCTGTCGCCCAGGCTGGAGTGCAGTGGCGCAGTCTTGGCTCACTGCAACCTCCGCCTCCCGGGTTCACGCCATTCTCCTGCCTCAGCCTCCCCAGTAGCTGGGACTACAGGCGCCCGTCACTACGCCCGGCTAATTTTTTGTATTTTTAGTAGAGAACGGGTTTCACCGTGTTAGCCAGGATGGTCTCGATCTCCTGACCTCATGATCCGCCCGCCTTGGCCTCCCAAAGTGCTGGGATTACAGGCGTGAACCACCGCGCCCGGTCTCGCCCGGTTAATTTTTGTGTTTTTAGGTTTACAGGCGTGAGCAACCGCACCCGGCCCCAATACTACATTTTCTTGTTTACTGTGTAGTCCTTATCTTCTGGCACAAAGCAGGCACTCTCTAAAAACCTGAATGAAAGTATGAAGCAGGCCGGCCGCGGTGGCTCATGCCTGTAATCTCAGCACTTTGGGAGGCCGAGGCGGGCGGATCACGAGGCCATGAGTTCGAGACCAGCCTGGCCAACATAGTGAAACCCTGTCTCTACTTGAAAAAAAAAAAGCCTGTAGTCCCACCTACTCGGGAGGCTGAGGTAGGAGAATCGCTTGAACCCGGGAGGCAGAGATTGTGGTGAGCGGAGATCGCGCCACTGCACTCCAGCCTGGGCAACAGAGAGAGACTCCGTCTCCAAAAGAAAAAAAAAAGAGTATGAAACGATGAGTACAATGCAATGAGTCGCCCGCCGCCTGCCACACCTACCCCGCAGCTCCAGACTGCCGCCTGCGCCGAGCCTAGGCCACCGAGCCTGACGGAAACTGCCGCTCCTGAACGCGTATCCCAGTCCCGCAGCTGACCAATCGGAGCCCGCCCTTCCGGGGCCCGCCCCCTTCCAGGAATCGACCTCCGGACCGGCCTCGAAAATTGACCAACCGGTTGTGTAGTTCCGCTCTTGGTCCCGCCCCCATGTTGAAACTGCCGCTTCGGATCGCGGAGTAACGCTTGCCAGGCGTCCCGGCCCTGCCCCTCAGCTGACCAATCAGGACGGCGGGCGGAGGCCCAGCCCCTAGCCGGCGACCCGGGGCGGTTCAGGCGGCTGCTGCGGCGCGGATCGGAGGATTCTGCCGGGTGAGTGCGGGGAGGCAGCACTGAGGTGGAGCGGAAGGGCTCTGCAGCAGGCCCCACGTGCATTCCCGCGAGGGACTCGGGGGCTGCAGTGGAAAAGAAGGGGAGGCTGCGTCTGCCTCTGCCGGGGTCCCGCCTCGGCGTCCGCCCGCTGGGCCTCTGTTACTTCTGCGGCCCTGGTGTTTCTGGAGCGTCGCTTTCCCGGTGCCTCTGCTCAGTGTTTCCCTTTCCAAAGCGCGACCGGGGCCAGGGGAAGGCAAGGCCAGCTGTGCCCTTTGACCCCGTGCGAAAGCGGCGACCCTCTGATACAGGGGTGTGGCCCAGAGCTACTTGGTCAGTTAGGGGTGGGGGCCGGGATCTTCGTCCTGCGAATCAAGCAGTTGGCCCCCCTTGACTGCATCTCCGTGCCCCCCAGCCCTGTGGGGTCATATACGTGTGGGAGGGTCCCTGGGTAGTAGGCTTCTTTCTGCTCCAGACCTTGCACCCGATCCTGAGGATACTTGGAGGTGGGGGGCAAGGGCTGGGAGGAGGAGGCGGAGTTTTCCCAGGCTCCCCCACACTTCCAGGGAAAGGCTTTCCAGGAAACCTGAACTCATCTACTCTGGAGTCAAATTTGGTTCAGATCTTGCCTCTTGCTAGCTGTGTGACTTGAGGCAAATTGCTTAACTTCTCTGAGCTTTGGTTTCTTCATTTGTAAAAAGAAAGTGAAGGAGGAAGGGAGGGCAGGAAAGGAGGAAGAATCCCTTTTGAAGCCTGGTTTGTATTGGGTTCACCAGTTATAAAGCACGGTTGTCCAAACCACTGCTCAGGAGGTGGAGGCTGCAGTGAGCCTGGAGAAAAAGGAAGCATGACCTTGCCCCAGCCATTTTGGTAATAATAGACTTTTACTGAATGCTTACTGTGTACCACTGTAAGCACTGTATTAAGTAAGCACTCTGCTAAGTACTTTATTTTTTGTATTTTGTGTGTGTGTCAGTCTTGCTTTCACCCAGGCTGGAGTGCAATAGTGTGATCTCTGCTCACTGCAACCTCCGCCTCCCAGGTTCAAGCGATTCTCCTGCCTCAGCAGCCTCCTGAGTAGCTGAGATTACAGACGCCCACCACCATGCCTGGTTAATTGTTTTGTTGTTGTTGTTGTTGTTGTTTTTGAGATGGAGTCTCACCCCATCACCCAGGCTGGAGTGCAATGGCGCGATCTCGGTTCACCACAACCTCCGCCTCCCAGGTTCAGGTGATTCTCCTGCCTCAGCCTCCCGAGTAGCTGGGATTACAGGCGCACGTCACCATGCCCGGCTAATTTTTGTATTTTTAGTAGCAACAGGGCCTCTCGCCATGTTGGCTAGGCTTGCCTCAAACTCCTGACCTCAAGTGATCTTCTGCCTCAGCCTCCCAAAGTGCTGGGATTACAGACGTGAGCCACTTGGCCTGTTTTTTGTGTTTTTGTTTTTGTTTTTTTTTACAGTGATGCGACCATGGCTCACTGCAGCCTGGGCCTTCTGGGCTAAAGCGATCCTTGAGTAGCTGGGGCCACAGACGAGTGCCACCATGGCTAGCTAGTTAAAAAAAAATTTTTTTTTTTGTAGAAAAAAAATGTTTCTACAAATGTTGCCCAGGCTTTAACATGCTTTCTTTAATTCCAACAACAATCATATGAGGTAGGTACTGTTGTCTTCCAGCAGATGAGGAAACTGAGGCACAGAGAAGTTAAATAACTTGCCTGAGGCAGTACAGTTAAAGAGTGTCAAATGGGGGTCTCTGGCACCACAGGGCACCCTACTGAGCCCTGTGTCCTGCTCTCTTGACTTCAGGTAGAAGAGCTGGGGCTGGAACCGAGCCCTGAGGACATCCTGTGGCCCAGGGGCAAGTGACACCTGCTGCAGGAGGCCCAGGATGGTGGAGGCTGAGGACCTGGCGCAGCTGCGGCTGCTCAACCTGGAGCTCCTGAGGCAGCTGTGGGTGGGGCAGGATGCTGTGCGGCGGTCAGTGACCAGGGCAGCCTTAGAGGTACGTGCCTGCCTTGGGAACCCCAGAGGAAGTGGCTACCTGACCTCAGGCCAGCATCCAGGCTTCTGGGATCATCTTGTTCCACACCCCCGTTTTACTGATGATGGGATATTGAGGGCTGGGGAGGGAAGAGACTGGCCTTGGTCACTGCTGAGGCCAGAGCAGGATGAGGACACAGGCCTTGGTACCTGGCGTAGGACCCGTGGCTATGTTCTGGCAGCCACTCCCTGGGTGACCCCACCCCTCTCTCCAGTCAAGCCTGGAATCCAGCAGCTACAATTCAGAGACTCCATTGACCCTAGAGACGTCCTCAACTTCCTTGAGCACCTCCTGCCCACGGGGCCGGTGTCCTGTGTGGAGCTCACCAGATGCCTGCCGAGGGGACCCCCGTGATGTGGCCAGATCGGGGGTGGCCTCTCTCCCACCTGCCAAATGCCAGCACCAGGAGTCCCTGGGCCGACCGAGACCCCACTCAGCACCCTCCCTGGGCACCTCAAGCCTGAGGGACCCAGAGCCCTCAGTGGGGCTAGGTGATCCAGGACCCCAGGAGGCACAGGCCCCGAGGTCCATCCTGGCTCAACAGAGCAAGCAGTCCAAGGTAATGTGGGAGAGCGGGACATCTGCTGATGGGAGGAGCTTCCTTGGGCCTCAGTTTCCCTATCTGACACATGTGCTTGTGGGCAGCCTCCCTTGCAGAACAAGAGGCTCCTGGGAGATACTGTGAGTTGGGTCTGGCTCAGCCTAAATGCTCGCTAAGCAATAGCTGTGAGTTTCTCAGCACTTTGAGAAGAGGCCAGGCTTTGTTCACAGCCACACATAAAGTGGGGTCAAACATTTCCCTTCTTGCTCTTGTGCCCTTGGCTGAGCCCTGGGCTCCAAGTCAGGGTGTAAGTTGAGACACAGTCTCTCTGTCCCTCGAGGTGTGGCTTCCTCTGGGCCAGGCCTCCTGGCTTAGTCCTTGCCCCTCTGTGCTTCCCTCCTCAGCCCAGGGTGACCTTCTCTGAGGAGTCTGCAGTTCCTGAGAGGAGCTGGCGCCTCAGGCCATACCTGGGCTATGACTGGATTGCAGGTAAGGCCTGCTGCTGCCCGGCACACACTTGGCCTAGGAGTGGGAGGTAGAGGCCTGGGCTCCTCCATGCTCCTATCTCAGCCTCCACCCGGTGCTGTTGCTTGTTTCTCTGACGACCGTGCCATCCTCCTTGGGGAGCACCCAATTTTTCTTTTTTTTTTTTTTTTTTTTTTTGAGACGGAGTCTTACTCTGTTACCCAGGCTGGAGTGCAGTAGTGCGATGTTGGCTCACAGCAACCTCCACCTCCCAGGTTCAAGTGATTCTCGTCCCTCAGCCTCCCGAGTAGCTGGGATTATAGGCGAGCACCACCACGCCTGGCTAATTTTTTGTGTTTTTAGTAGAGATGGTGTTTCCCCATCTTGGCCAGGCTGGTCTCAAACTACAGAGCTCAAGATATCCACCTACGCTGGACTCCCAAAGTGCTGGGATTACAGGAGTGAGCCACCGCCCCCCACAGCCACCTTTTTTGTTTTGTTTTGTTTTGTTTTATTATTTATTTATTTATGTATTTATTTTTGAGATAGAGTTTTGCTCTGTCGCTGAGGCTGGAGTGCAATGGCGTGATCTCGGCTCACTGCAAGCTCTGCCTCCCGGATTCATGCCATTCTCCTGCCCCAACCTCCTAAGTAGCTGGGACTACAGGCACCCGCCACCATGCCCGGCTAATTTTTTTGTATTTTTTTTTTTTTTAGTAGAGACGGGGTTTGACCGTGTTAGCCAGGATTGTCTCATCTCCTGACCTCGTGATCTGCCTGCCTCAGCCTCCTGACCTCATGATCTGCCCACCTCAGCCTCCCAAAGTGCTAAGATTACAGGCATGAGCCACTGGGCTGGTCTATTTATTTATTTATTTATTTTGAGACAGAGTTTTACTCTTGTTGCCCAGGCTGGAGTGCAATGGTGTGATCTTGGCTCACTGCAACCTCTGCCTCCCAGGTTCAAGCGATTCTCCTGCCTCAGCCTCCCAAGTAGCTGGGATTACAGGTATGCGCCACCACGCCCAGCTCATTTGTGTATCTGTAATAGAGATGGGGTTTTACCATGTTGGCCAGGCTGCTCTTGAACTTCTGACCTCAGGTGATCTGCCCACTTCAGCCTTCCAAAGTGCTGGGATTACAGGCATGAACCACCATGCCTGGCCTTTTTTTTTTTTTTTTTTTTTTTTTTTTGCTTTTTAAGAGAAGACAGGCCAGGCACAGAGAAGTTAAATAAGTTGCCTGAGGCAGTACAGTTAAAGAGTGTCAAATGGGGTTCTCTGGCACCACAGGGCACCCGGTAATCCCAGCACTTTGGGAGGCTGAGGCAGGTGGATCACGAGGTCAGGAGTTTGAGACCAGCTTGACCAACATGGTCAAACCCTGTATCTACTAAAAATACAATAATTAACTGGGCGTGGTGGTCTGGGCCTGTAATCCCAGCTGCTTGGGAGGCTGAGGCAAGAGAATCGCTTAAACCCGGGAGGCGGAGGTTGCAGTGAGCCGAGATTGCGCCATTGCACTCCAGCTAGGGTGACAGAGCGAGACTCCGTCTCCAAAAAACAAACAAACAAAAAAAAAATGAGACGAGCAGTAGTGAGAAGAAGGGGGAAAGAGTAGAACAAAGAGTTTGGTCTGTCACTGACTGTGAGTAATCAATTGCGATAACTCACTACCTTCACACCAGCCTCTGAGCACCTTCTGAGCCATGTCTGCTCTCTCAACCTCCAGCACAGAGACGGTGCATCTGTTGAATAATTGAATGAGTCTCAGCTGCCCTATGTTTGAACATTGGTTATGTGCCAGGCCCCTGCACAACTCCATACCAATGCCAGCTCTTTTCACGCTACTGTCCAGCTGTCCCCAACAGCAACTTCAGCTGCCTTCTGTCTGGTTTCCTCCTGGCCTATGTCCCATTGTTGTCCTTTGCGCTTGTGCGTGCGTGTGTGTTTGTGTGTGTGTGTGTGTGTTTGTGTAAATACATAACATAAAATTTACCACTGTAGCATTTTTTTTTTTTTTTTGAGGTGGAGTTTCACTCTTGTTGCCCAGGCTGGAGTGCAGTGGCACGATCTCGGTTCACCACAACCTCCGCCTCCCAGGTTCAAGCAGTTCTCCTGCCTCAGCCTCCCTAGTAGCTGGGATTATAGGCATGTGCCACCAGGCCCAGAGACGGGGTTTCTCCATGTTGGTCAGGCTGGTCTCGAGCTCCCGACCTCAGGTGATCCACCCGCCTCGGCCTCCCAAAGTGCTGGGATTACAGGCGTGAGCCACTGCGCCCGGCCTAGCTTTTTTTTTTTTTTTTTTTGAGACGAGGTCTCACTCTTGTTGCCCAGGCTAGAGTGCAATGGCGTGGTCTCCGCTCACTGCAACCTCCGCCTCCTGGATTCAGGCGATTCTCCTGTCTCAGCCTCTGAGTAGCTGGGATTACAGGCACCTGCCACCACGCCTGGCTAATTTTTTTTTTTTTTTTTTTGGTTTGAGACAGAGTCTTGCTCTGTCACCCAGGCTGGAGTGCAGTGGCCAGATCTCGGCTCACTGCAAGCTCCGCCTCCCGGGTTTACGCCATTCTCCTGCCTCAGCCTCCCGAGTAGCTGGGATTACAGGCGTCCGCCACCACGCCCGGCTAATATTTTGTATTTTTAGTAGAGATGGGGTTTCACTGTGTTAGCCAGGATGGTCTCGATCTCCTGACCTTGTGACCCGCCTGCCTCGGCCTCCCAAAGTGCTGGGATTACAGGCGTGAGCCACCGTGTGCTGCCTAATTTTTGTATTTTTAATAGAGACAGGGTTTCACCATGTTGGCCAGGTTGGTCTCGAACTGACCTCAGGCGATCTACCCACCTCAGCCTCCCAAAGTGCTGGAATTACAGGTGTGAGCCACCACGCCCAGCCACCTGTAGCATTTTTTAAGTGGACTGTTAAGTGGCATCAAGTATGTCCACACTGTTGAGCTATCATTACTACCATCCATCTCCACAATTTTTCATCTTCCCAAAAACTTCTCTCCCCATTAAATAATTACTCCTATTCCCCCTCCCTCCAGCCCTGGACAGTCACCATTCTACTTTCTGTCCGTATGAATTTGACTCCTCTAGGGACCTTATATAAGTGAAATCATACAGCATTTGTTCTTTTGTACTGGCTTTTCTTATTTAACATAATGGCCTCAAGATTTATTCATGTTGTAGTGTGTGTCAGAATTCCCTTCCTTTTATTTATTTATTTTTTTGTTTTGTTTTGAGACAGAGTCGCACTGTATCGCCCAGGCTAGAGTGCAGTGGTGTGATCTCGGCTCACTGCAACCTTCACCTCCTGGGTTGGAATGGTTCTTGTGCCTCAGCCTCCCGAGTAGCAGGGATTACAGGTGTGCGCCACCACACCCAGCTAATTTTTGTATTTTCAGTAGAGATGGAGTTTCACTATGTTGGCCAGGCTGGTCTCGAACTGCTGCACTCAAGTGATTCTCCTGCCTCGGCCTCCCAAAGTGCGGGGATTACAGGTGTGAGCTGCTGTGCCTGGCTGGAATTCCCTTCCTTTTTAGGGCTGAGTGACATTCTGTTGTGTGTAGATACCACATGTTGTTTATCCATTCATTCATGGATGGACACTTGGGTGGTTTCCATCTCTTGACTGTTGGGAATAATGCTGCCAGGGACATGGTTGTGCACTGTCATTTTTGACATAGCAGCCAAAGGATATTTTTAAACGTGGAAATCAGATCATGTCACTCCCCTGCTCAAAACTCCCCATGGACTTTTCCCAGCACTTACTGTAAAATCCAAAATCCCATTCTAGACTTACGAGGCATGATCTGGCCTCTACTGGCCCCATGATGATGTGACCTCCCGTCTTTCTTTCTTCCAGCCTCGCGGCCTCCTCTTTTTTTTTTTTGAGATGTAGTCTTGCTCTGTTGCCCAGAGTCCAGTCCAGCGGTGTGATTTCTGCTCACTGCAACCTGCGCTTCCTTGGTTTAAGCGATTCTCCTTCCTCAGCCTCCCAGGTAGCTGAGATTACAGGCATCTACTACCATGCTCGGCTAATTTTTGTGTTTTTAGTAGAGACGGGGTTTCACCATGTTGGCCAGGCTGGTCTTGAACTCTTGACCTCAGGTGATCCATCCACCGCGGCCTCCCAAAGTGCTGGGATTACACGAATAATGGGGTGACCACAGGTGTGGCAGGACTAGAAAGGAGGCCACAGCCAGGCATGGTGGCTCACGCCTGTAATCCCAGCAATTTGGGAGGCTGAGGTGGGCGAATCACTTGAGGTCAGGAGTTCGAGACCAGCCTGGCCATCACGGCAAAACCCTGTCTCTACTAAAAATACAAAAACTAGCTGGGTGTGGTGGTGGGCACCTGTAATCCCAGCTACTCAGGAGGCCAAGGCAGGAGAATTGTTTGAATCCAGGAAGTGGAGGTTGCAGTGAGCAGAGATCAAGCCACTGCACTCCAGCCTGGGTGACAAAGTGAGATTCTGTCTCAAAAAACAAAGACAGGTGCATTGTGGAGTTGCTGGGAGCAAGTGGTGGCGGGGACACAGGCCCTGCGCTTGAGTACTTCCTGAACTCTCAGCTCACTGCCCTCCTTCCTGGTTCTGGGAAAATGGAGGCGTCTGTCCCAATGCCTGCTCTTGGTCCATGCGCTCTGCTTCCCTGCCTTTCCCAAGGTGACCGTCCACGCTGCCACCTGGGCCCTGGCCCTGCTGCAGCGCTCTGCCCCTCTGCTTCTGGCTCCTCCGGGGTTTGCTTCCTGTGATCCTCTCTCTCTCTGTCCCGCATCCTCATCCTGCCCCTCAGCATGAACATGAACGTGCAGGAAGCATTCTGGGAGCTGGTTGTATCTCATGCTCCCTGCACCACGCACCGCTCCGAGCTGTGCTCCCTGTTCCTCCCACTGACTCCTTTGCCCTTCACAATAAGCTTATTAGATAGGCGCCACCATGGTGCCCATTCACAGATGGGAAGGCTGAGGCCAGGTGAGACAGAATCTTACCAGCAGCTCACATCCAGTCGGGGTAAAGCCGCGCCTGTTATTTCTTATCCCGATGCCACATTTCTACCTTTAGCCCACATTTGCTTCCAGTGACTGCCTATTGTCTCGATAACAAAACTTCCTCTTCAAAAGGGCTGTCTAGCCTCATTGCCTTCAATTTCTCTCCACTACTATTTTTTTTTTTTTTTTTTTTTTTTTTTTGAGATGGAGTCTCACTTTTTCACCCAGGCTGGAGTGCAGTGGAGTGATCTCGGCCCACTGCAACCTCCGCCTCCCAGGTTCAAGTGATTCTTTTGTCTCAGCCACCTAAGTAGCTGGGAGTACAGGCATGTGCCACTACGCTCAGCTAATTTTTGTATTTTTAGCCAGAGACAGGGTTTTGCCATCTTGGCCAGTCTGGTCTGGAACTCCCGATGTCAAGTGATCTGCCCGCCTTGGCCTCCCAAAGTGCTGGGATTACAGGCATGAGCCACTGTGTCTGGCCTCCACTACTGTTTCTTAAATCAGGCTTCAGCTCCCAGCATTTCATCAACGTGGCCCTCAGTTGGGTCATCAGTGGCCTCCGTGGTGCCAACTCCCCAGCTGAGCCCTCATCCACACCTTCCTTACCTTTGAGCAGCAGGGGACACAGTAGTCACTCCCTCCCTGAAGCACTTTCTCCCCTAGACTTCTAGCCCCATGCTTCCTGGTTCTACCCCATCTCTGTTGGTGCTCCTTCCCAGGCTCCCGGGGAAGGAAAGGTCCTTGTTCTGACCACTACACCCCTAGGCCTGGGACTCAGTCTTCTGACTCCTCTCTGTCTTCCCTCTTCCCTCTATGATCTCCCAAGTGCTGAGGCATTTGACACTTTCTCTACTTCTCCATTTTGTATCTCTAGCTCACATCTCTCCTCCGAATTCCAGACTTATATATCCCGCCGTCTTCTCCACATCACCATGAAGTTATTAACCTTCTGTCCGAAATCAAGGTCCTGATTTCCATGCCATCTGCTGTGCTCCCCCTGCAGTCTTTCCTGTCTCCACAAATGGCAACTCCACATACTAAATAGCTCAGGCCATAACCTTGGGATCGACCCTAATTCCCCCCTCTTTTTCACACCATCCTCATCTAGTCCATTAGCACATCTTGTTGACCCTGCCTTCAACATACTTTTAGAATCCGATTATAGATGCTGCTGGATTTACCATATAGCTACATCCTGACACACCCAACGTAAGTTGAAAATACCGTTTAGTCAAAAAGGCATATAAGGCCAGGTGCGGTGGCTCACACCTGTAATCCCAGCACTTTGGGAGGCTGAGGCGGGCGGATCACTTGAGGTCAGGAGTTCAAGACCACCCTGGCCAGCATACTGAAATCCCATCTCCACTGAAAGTACAAAAATTAATTGAGTGTGGTAGCACCCACCTGTAATCCCAGTTGCTCGGGAGACTGAGGCAGGAGAATCACTGCAACCCCGGAGGCGGAGGTTGCAGTGAGCCGAGATCACGCTACCACACTCCAGCCTGGGCAACAGAGTGAGACTCTGTCTCCAAAAAAAATAAATAAATAACCAAACCAAAACAAAAAGGCATTTGATACACCTAACCTACCAAACATTCTAGCTTAGCTGAGCCTACCTTAAATGTGCGCAGAATACTGACATTAGCCTACAGTTGGGCAAAATGATCTAACACAGGCCTTTTTTATAATGAAGTGTTGAATGTCTCATGTAACTTACTGATGTTCTGAATGTGATCACTTTTGTGCCATTGTAAAGTTGATAAATCATAACTTGAAAAATTCTGGCCAGGTGTGGCAGTGGCTCATGCCTGTAATCCCAGCACTTTTGGAGGCCAAGGCAGGTGGATCAGGCCAGGAGTTTGAGAACAGCCTGGCCAAGATGGCGAAACCCCTTCTCCACTAAAAGTACAAAAATTAGCTGGGCGTGGTGGCGCATGCCTGTAATTCCAGCTACGTAGGTGGCTGAGACATGAGAATCTCTTGAACCTGGGAGGCAGAGGTTGCAGTGAGGTGAGATCGCTCCACTACACTCCAGCCTGGGCAACACAGTGAGATTCTCTCTCAAAAAAGTAAGAAAAGAAACATCCTAAGTCAAATCATGCTGAGTTGCGGGCTGCCCCTGCCTGTCCCCAGCTGAATCCTAACTGATGCCTCTACTTCCCCTCACCTTGAAGCAGCCAGAGGAGGAGTCCTGTAAAATTATGTGGCCTATGTGATTGGGTCCCTCCCGGTCCCCAAACCCTCCTTGGGCTTCTTTTTTTTTTTTTTTTTTTTTTTTTTTGAGGCTGGAAGTCGCTCCTTCGCCCAGGCACAGGGTGCAGTGGCCGGATCTCAGCTCACTGCAACTCCTCCCAGTTCACTCATCCCTCTCTCCTCAGCCTGCCGGGCCTCATGAGTCTACAGCGCCCACACCACCTCGCCCAACCTAGTTTACTGTATTTTTTTTTTTAGTAGAGACGGGGTTTCACCCATGTTATTGTTGAGTTGATTGAGTTGACTTGCATTACATATATTGAGACTCAATAAATGTATACGCGCCATTCATAGCTTACTCACCTTGTTTCGCCATTTGAACCACACACACGTGCCCTGTACAAGCACATGTATCTGCCTGTGATGTCCGCAGGAAGTCTGTGGCTCTTTTTTTTTTTTTTTTTTTTTTTTTTTTTTTTGAGACGGAGTCTGGCTCTGTCGCCCAGGCTGGGGTGCAGTGGCCGGATCTCAGCTCACTGCAAGCTCCGCCTCCCGGGTTTACGCCATTCTCCTGCCTCAGCCTGCCGAATAGCTGGGTCTACAGGCGCCCACCACCTCGCCCGGCTAGTTTTTTGTATTTTTTAGTAGAGACGGGGTTTCACCATGTTAGCCAGGATGGTCTCGATCTCCTGACATCGTGATCCGCCCGTCTCGGCCTCCCAAAGTGCTGGGATTACAGGCTTGAGCCACCGCGCCCGGCCTCCTTGGGCTTCTTAACCTCATCTCCTCCACCCTTACTCCCTTCCTGCCACTTTCCCCTCCTGGCTGTTCCTCAGCTGAACCACACACGCGCCCACCCTTTGCGCTTGCTCTTTCATCTGCCTGTGATGTCCTTCCTGGGAGGTCTCTGTGGCTCTTCCATGTCTCTGCTCAGGGTCGTCTCACTTGGAGAGGCCTTCCCTGGCATGGCTGCCCTGCCATACTAGGCTCTGACCCTGCTCTCTTGCTTTCTGGCAGGTGTCACCATTCAGTCTTGTCTCACGGATTTTTTTTGGTGGCTAGTTCATCTCTTGCCACCTTACGGTGTAAGCCTCATTAAGGCCGGGGGCTTTGTCTATCTAGTTCCTGGCACATGAAACAGCATCTAGCCCTGTCATAAGGTCTCTGTCAGCCGGGCGCGGTGGCTCACGCCTGTAATCCCAGCACTTTGGGAGGCCGAGACAGGCGGATCACGAGGTCGGGAGATCGAGGCCATCCTGGCTAACACGGTGAAACCCCGTCTCTACTAAAAAATACAAAAAACTAGCCGGGCGAGGTGGCGGGCGCCTGTAGTCCCAGCTACTCGGGAGGCTGAGGCGGGAGAATGGCATGAACCCGGGAGGCGGAGCTTGCAGTGAGCTGAGATCTGGCCACTGTACTCCAGCCTGGGCGACAGAGCGAGACTCCATCTCAAAAAAAAAAAAAAAAGGTCTCTGTCGATATTTTTTCCATGGATGGTTGGCTATGCATCAGGGTAGAGAGACACTGAAACCAACCAACAGTCCCAGTGACTGGAGGGGCCCTCCTCGCCTGTTTGAGGCACAGTAGGGGTGAAGCAGGTGGCCTGGGGTGCTGGGCTGATCGTCTCTCCAAGCCTTGGCCGGTGGCCACACAGCAGCCCCCAGCCCCTCTCCCATCAGCTGCCTGGTGCTTTGCCCACACCAGGGTCTCTGGACAGCAGCTCTTCAGTCGCCAGCCAGCCTGAGGCCTTCTTCTCGAAGCTGCAGGAGTTTCGGGAAACCAACAAGGAGGAGTGTATCTGTAGCCATCCTGAGTGAGCAGGGGTGGGCAAGGGTGGGTGAGGGTGGCTGAGCGGCTCTATCCCCCGGCCTGCTCATCCCCCTCACCCTCTCAGACCCCAGGTCCTAGGTCTGCATGACAGCAGTGGCAGCGGCGTGGAGAAAGACCATGAATGTGAGTGTGGGCCCTCGGCTAGGTCACTGAGTAGTCCAGCCTCGCGCTGCCCTGGCCTTCCCTGCCGCAGAGCGGTTCCATTTGAGGTTTGGGGCCTGGGGAGGCCCCTGAGGTGTTGAGACTCATGGAGGGAGGCTTGCAGTCTGGACAGGGTGGCCAAGCCCTGGTAGGGGTGGGGTGAGCTAAGACCTGGCCTCCGGATTAGGGGCTGCCCTGTGTGGCCCCATCCCAACCTTCCCAGCAGCGCCTCTGTGCTGGTGGGACTCCATCCCAGCTCCTGAGAGCCCCAGGAGGATGTCCCTCCCCACCCCTTAGGGCGTGGGCCCCAGGTTCTGGGAGGAAAGGGCTTAGGAGGAAATGGGCCGACTTGTTTCCCAGAGGATTGGCAGCCTGTGTGGTTGGGGGCCACTGGGGGCAGCACTGGGCCTGGGGACCTGGGGATCTGGGTTCCTGGCTCAGGGGGAGCTGCGGCTTCTCATGGGCCTCGCAGGCGTGTACTGTTACCGTGTCAACCGGCGCCTGTTCCCCGTGCCTGTGGATCCTGGCACCCCCTGCCGCCTGTGTAGGACACCACGAGACCAGCAGGGCCCTGGGACCCTGGCACAGCCAGCGCAGGTCAGGTGAGTGACCAGAGAGTATTAGGACACCTGTGGGGACAGAGCCTGAACCACTGGTTTTAAGGGGAGTAAAGATGAGCCTGGGCGTGGGCCCCCAACCACCGGGAGGCTCCTCAGGGGTCCCCCACTGCACCCCTGCGCAGGGTGAGCATCCCGCTGTCGATCCTGGAACCTCCGCACCGGTACCGCATCCACCGGCGGAAGAGCTTTGACGCCTCCGACACACTGGCCCTGCCCCGGGTGAGCAGGCACGTGGGGCTGGATGGTGATGAGGGCGGGGCTGGCTCAGACTGGCCCAGGTCCCCAGGGAGGGTCACAGAGCGAGGCTGGGCTCATCAGTGGTGAGCACCCAAGTCTCTGGAGCACAGGCTGGGCCTCTTCCATCACCCACAGCTGTTCCTAAGGGAGATAGGACCCCCGCTCCACGTACCCCAGGGCTTCCAGGATGCTTTGCCTGTAGGCTGGCATGAAATGAACGGGCCCTGTTTATTGCGCTCTTGTGTACTGCAGGCACAGTCCTTAGGGGGCTTCTCTCAGGGAGCCCCCACAGCAGCCAGGAGGGCAGGCACTGCTGTACCCCCACCCTGCAGGTGGGGAGACCGAAGCGGAGTGGCAGGTGCCTTGCTGGAGGAGCTAGGATTTGAACCTAGGTCTCTGTGCTTCTTTTTTTTTTTTTTTTTTTTGAGACCGAGTTTTGTTCTTACTGCCCAGGCTGGAGTGCAGTGGCACAATCTTGGCTCACTGCAACCTCCACCTGTAGTCCCAGCTACTTGGGAGGCTGAGGTGGGAGGATCACTTGAACCCGGGAGGCAGAGGCTTCAGTGAGCCGAGATCTCGCCACTGCACTGCAGCATGGATGACAGAGTGAGACTCCATCTCAAAAAAAAAAAAAAAGTAAAAAAGTCCTTTCCTGTGTCTCCAGGTCAGGATGGGGGCCCAGTGGCAACTCCGCCTGACTCCTAAATTGAGAGTAGGGCAGCTGGGGTCAGAGGAGGAGAAGGATGCAGAGGAAAGTCAGTTTGCTGGTCCATGAAATGGACATAAGAGCGCCATCCTCAGGGATGTTGGTGGCGAGGTGGGGCTGTTCAGTGAAGCAATCCATGCAGGCGCTTGGAGAGCCCACAGCAAGAAGCGCCCTGTGAGTGTCACTGTCACCATCCTGTCCTCCTCCTATTCCAGCTCTTAGGGCCCCAGGGATGGCTGGATGTGCCAGGATAAGGAAGGAGAGACCTGGGGTAATCTTGTGGGTAGACACAGGCCCTGCCCTGGTGGGGGCCTCCTTCCTAATGGGGGACACAGTCCCTCCCTGATGGGGGTCTGCCCAGTCAGCGGGGAGCCTGTCCCAGGCCAGGCACCTTTAACCCCTTGCCTTCCACAGCACTGCCTGCTGGGCTGGGACATTTTCCCTCCGAAGTCTGAGAAAAGCTCAGCCCCTAAGAACCTGGACCTCTGGTCCTCTGTCTCCACTGAGGTCCAGCACCAGAAGCTGTCAGGCACCAGCCCTTTTCGCCTGGTATGGCCCAGATCACATCCTAGCCTGGGGTGCCCCCCGGAGGGACAGAGACCTTGGAGCAGGCCTGGGGACTGCAGAGCCCCCTGGGGGGTAGGATTGGGGTGGGGAGGATGGAGCCTGGGGGTATCTCTCTGCAGGGGTCCAGCCCTCTGGCCCTGACCCTAGCCATCCCTCGGAACTCCTCCGCTCCCTGCCGCCTGCCCTGCTCCACCCAGGAAGGCCACCCTGACTGCAAGATCCAGGAGGGAATGTGGCTGGAACTGGAGATGACCTGTCCCTTTCAAGTGGCCCCCCTGAAACTTCCCTCTTCCCCATCCACGCCTTGCCAATGCAGGTGCCACCCCCTACCCCGATCTGGTCAGTGCCCCAGGTCCCTCGGCCCCACGTCCCACGGCAGAAGCCTCGAGGACCGACTCCTGGAGGACAGCATTCCCGCCGCCTCCAGCCTCTCACCTCCAGCAGGCGCACCCAGGAGATGGAAGCCCCTGCCCGCCCCGCTCAGGCCCGGCTGTCCTAGGTTGGGCAGGTGGGCGGGCCCAGGCTTGTCTGCTGCCTGGGTTCCAGAGAGGAAGGACCCTGGGGTGGAGGGTGAGGGATTCTGTGGAAATTTTAAAATAAAGCTCAGTGCTCTGCAGCTCAAGTCCCACGTGTGCTGGTTCCATCCTGCTCATGCACTTGGGGCCCAGAAGGCACTCTGGCCTCTCAACCTGCCGTCCTGGCACCTGCAGAAGGAAGACATTGTGACCACCGGGACTGGGCAGTGTGTGTGCGTCACCATGAGGATGGCTCCTTCCGCACATCCCCAGCTCTGGGTAGTGGCCTCCACCAGATAGGGGAGGGGGGTCCCCAAGGCAGGCTGGGCCAAGGTTATTAAAAAGTCATTTCAGGCCGGGCGTGGTGGCCCACGCCTGTAATCCCAGCACTTTGGGAGGCCGAGGCGGGTAGACCATGAGGTCAGGAGATCGAGACCACCTACAAGGTGGCTGGGCCAAGGTTATTAAAAGTCATTTTCAGGCCGGGCGTGGTGGCCCACGCCTGTAATCCCAGCACTTTGGGAGGCTGAGGCGGGTAGACCATGAGGTCAGGAGATCGAGACCATGGTAAAACCCATCGCCAGCAAAAATACAAAAAATTAGCCGGGCGCGGTGGCGGGTGCCATAGTCCCAGCTATCGTGAGGCTGAGATGTGAACCCGCGAGGTGAGCTTGCAGTGAGCCGAGATCGTCTGAACTCCAGGTGACAGAGCGAGACTCCATCTCAAAAAAAAAAAAAAAAAAAGTCATTTCAGCGAGGGCCTCTGCTGAAGCCGGTGAGTCGCGTTGAGGACTTGGCTCTGTCCCTTCCTGGTCCCAGAACTGGATCCGTTCATAGAAAGTGCCTTCTGAAGTCCCGGGTCACGTGGCTCCTCCACCTAGCCCCGGGAGCCGTGGGTCATTCAGAGCCCCAGCAGGGACAGATGAGGAAACTGAGGGCTGGGCAGTGAGTCGGAGGCAAGGTTAGCAGAGCGCCCAGATGTCCAGTCTGGGAGAGTGGGCAGCGCCGTCTTTCACCTCTTGTATGTGTTGGTTGCATAGTATGAAATTTCTGTTTTTATAAATGGAATAAATGGAAACGAGGCATGAACTTTCTCTAAGGTTTCTCGGCTTAGAGATGAAACTGGGCTGTGCTGTCCTGGGGCTTTTTCCTGGAGTTTATGAAGCTATAAAAACATTTCCTTCTCTCTGGAGAAACAAAGTCTCTTTAAGTCCCTGCTTTCAATTATTTTGGGTATACAGAAGTGGAATTGCAGGATCAGAAGGTGATTCTGTGGTTTTTTTATTTTTGAGATAGGATCTCACTTTGTCACTCAGGCTGGAGTGCAGTGGCGCCATCTCTGCCCACTGCAGCCTCGACCTCTTAAGCTCAAGTGATTCTCTTGCCTCAGCTGCCCCGGTAGCTGGACTACAGGCGCATGCTACCACACCTGGCTAGTTTTTTTGTACTTTTTGTGGAGAAGGGGTTTCACTGTGTTGCCCAGGCTGGTCTTGAACTCCTGAGATCAAGTGATCCTCCACCTTAGCCTCCCAAAGTGCTGAGATTACAGGTGTGAGCTACCACCTCCGGCCAATAATTCTATTTTTAGTGTTTAGAGGAACTGCTGTACTATTTTACTTTCCGACCAGTGATGCACAAGAGTTCCAATTTCCCCGCATCCTCAACAGCACTTGCTGTTTTCTGGTTTTTCTATAGTAGCTGTCCTAATGGCTGTGAAGTGTATTTCATTGTGGTTTTTATTTGCGTTTCCCTAAGGATTAGTGAAGTTGAGCATGTTTTAATGTGCTTATTGGTCATTTGTATATCTTTTAAACAATAATTAATAGTCTTTAACTTTTAAGTTCAGGAGTACTTGTTTATTAGTTTATTTATTTTTAATAGAGACAGGGTCTTGCTATGTTGTCCAGGCCTCAGGCTATTCCTACCTGGGCCTCCCAAAACACTGGGATTATAGGCGCAAGCCACTGCACGCGGTCTGTTTGCATATCTTCTTTGGAGAAGTCAAGTCCTTTGTCCCATATTTTAGTTGGATTTGCTTTGTTGTTGTTCCACGTGTAATTTTGAGTCAGAGAACTTGTGGGAGACAGTGGTTTCTTTAGAAATTCTTTGGCCAGAGGGAGAAGAGAATTCAAAGCCTTTCTGTCAAACGAAAGTTACAAAATTAGGCTGGGCGCGGTGGCTTACTTCTGTAATCCCAGCATTTTGGGAGGCCGAGGCAGGAGGATCACTTGAGGTCAGGAGTTTGTGACCAGCCTGGCCAACATGGTGAAACCCCATCTCTACTAAAAATACAAAAATTAGCTGGCGATGGTGATGCACACCTGTAATCCCAGGTACTCGGGAGGCTGAAGTGGGAGAATGACTTGAACCTGGGAGGTAGAGGTTGCAGTGAGCCGGATCGTTCCACTGCACTCCAGCCTGGGTGACAGAGATACTCTGTCTCAAAAAAAAAAAAAAAAAAAAAGTTACAAAATTTAGGCCAGGTGCTGTGGCTCACGCCTATAATCCCAGCACTTTAGGAGGCCAAGGCAGGCAGATCACTTGAGGTCAGGAGTTTGAGACCAGCCTGGCCAACATGGCAAAACCCCATCTCTACTAAAAATAAAAAAATTAGCCAGACATGGTGGTACACGGCTGTAATCCCAGCTACTTGGGAGGCTGAGGCATGAGAATCACTTGAATCCAGGAGGTGGAGGTTGCAGTGAGCCGAGATAGTGCCATTGCACTCCAGCTTGGGGGACAGAGCAAGACTCTGTCTCAAAAAAAAAAAAAAAAAAAAAAAGTTACAAAGTTTACAAAGCTGAGATCGGCTTACAGATTTAGCCGTGTATAACAATAACAGAAGTCCAAAACATTAACAGCCTAACCCAGAGAGAAATGCTTCTTTCCCATCACCATACAGGCTGGAATGCTGCCATGGGGCCCGTAATGCATCAGGGTGAGTGGTTTCTCTGGAAAAACAGTTCTTTTGAAACTCTGAAAGACTTCCAGCTTGCTTGCTTCCAGTCAGTTCCATGCACAAGAACCACAGCCCAAAGTCTGTAGACACTGTGCTGGATGAAACCTGGCGCTATAGCCTGAAAGGCTCTTTGTGTGGCAACAAATAACTCCTGTTTTCCCACGTACTGACCTCTGTGCTCTGCCTGTTCCCGGCTCTCTCTTCAGAAGGCAGCCTCCTTGGGGCCATCTGGAGCAATCGGCAGGGGTAGGAAGATCACAGCCTGAACCAGATCCTTCCTGCTGGTCGCTTGAGAACTCTTTTTCTTTTTAATACTTGAGACAGGGTCTGTCGCTTAGGCTAGAGTGCAGTGGTGCAATCTTAGCTCACTGCAACGTCCACCTCGCGAGTTAAAGCGATTCTCATGCCTCAGCCTCCCAAGTAGCTGGGATTACAGGCGCCCGCCACCATGCCCGGCTAATTTTTGTAATTTAATAGAGAAGGGGTTTCCTTCTCTATTTCCTTCTCATGTTGGCCAGGCTGGTCTTGAACTCCTGGTCTCAAGTGCTCCACCCGCCTTGACTTCCCAAAGTGCTAGGATCACAGGCGTGAGCCACTGCCCCTGGACTCCTGAGAACTGCAGGAAGCTGCTTGAGAAAGCCCTGGGCCTGGGGCTGCCTCTCCGGTCACTTCTTAGGACTGATTTCAGCCTGGGATACAGGCTTATTTGGGCCAAAAGAGGACCCAAGAAAGAGGGTTCCAGGCAAGAGGCCCCTAGAGCAGAGCCCATGTCTTGCAGCTCTCCGGGTTACCCACACAATTCCACTTTGTGAATGTCCCCACCACCCTCCCAGGTGCCTGCACGCTGTTCTTAATTCTCCTGGGCCTTTCACCCCTACAACTTGGGGACACCCTGGATGCTCATCTTGTCTCCTGCCCTTGCCCCATCCACGTCTCAGCTTGGGTGTCTCTTCTTTCAAGAGATCCTCCCTGAACCTCTGGGTTCTCAGATCTGCCCCCGCCATCACACAACCTGCCTCCCTGCTCTTCCCCAAGGCCCCTGAGTGGTATTAGAAGTAACTAACGGTGAGATGCATTGCCTAAGCTCTCTCCCCTGTGAGAACTGTAGCTTCCTGAAAACAGAGCTGGCATTGTTTTTCTTCATTGAAATATTTTTGTATTGTGCTTTTGCAAAAGTACTGGCTAAACTGTGTTCCAGAACTTGGCTTTTCCCTCTAGCCTGGTTTCTTTTTTTTTTTTTTTTTTTTTTTTTTGAGACGGAGTCTGGCTCTGTCACCCGGGCTGGAGTGCAGTGGCCGGATCTCAGCTCACTGCAAGCTCCACCTCCGGGGTTTACACCATTCTCCTGCCTCAGCCTCCCGAGTAGCTGGGACTACAAGACGCCCACCACCTCACCCGGCTAGTTTTTTGTACTTTTTAGTAAAGACGGGGTTTCACCATGTTAGCCAGGATGGTCCCGATCTCCTGACCTCGTGATCCGCCCGTCTCGGCCTCCCAAAGTGCTGGGATTACAGGCTTGAGCCACCGCACCCGGCCTAGCCTGGTTTCTTAGCTGCATTGTGAAGGTTACTGGATAAATGCTTTCATTTCTCTACATGCAAGGACCCTGGTGGCTGGGCACACTCCTGATAACACCTTACATGCACCCCCTCTCCCAAATTGATAGCGTTCTTTTCTTTTTTTTTTTCGTGCCTTCTGAGTAGGTACTGTAAGTCCCAAAGGAAAAAGGCAACATCACCTACCTCTCCCAAAACTAGTGTCTTGTGTTGGTCATTTAGAAATAAGAACAAAATGCCTGGGCGTGGTGGCTCACGCCTGTAATCCCAGCACTTTGGGAGGCTGAGGCGGGCGGGTCATGAGGCAGGAAATCGAGACCATCCTGGCTCAGCCTCCTGAATAGCTGAGACAACAGGCGAGCACCACCACACCTAACGAGGCAGGGAGCTGGATTCCTCAACAGAAAGGTGTGGAGCTGGTCAGGTGCAGTGGCTCACGCCTGTAATTCCAGCACTTTGGGAGGCCGAGGTGGGCTGATCACGAGGTCATGAGATCGAGACCATCTTGGCCAACATGGTAAAACCCCGCCTCTACTAAAAATACAAAAATTAGCTGGGCGTGGTGGTGTGTGTCTATAGTTCCAGCTATTCAGGAGACTGAGGCAGGAGAATCGCTTGAACCCAGGAGGTGGAGGTTACAGTGAGCTGAGATTGCGCCACTGCACCTGGGCGACAGAGTGAGACTCAATCTCAAAAAAAAAAAAGGTGTAGAGCTGATGAATACTCTCTAAATGGAACCCAACTCCTTGATACAGTCTGTAATGCCTCCACCATTCCCCTACTCACTCATTCATTCACCA